GAGGTGAAAAAAGAGGTGAAAAAACGGGTGAGATCTCACCTCTTCACCTAAAATATATTTTTGTGCTATATTTACACTCATTTACGAAGAAGTCATGAATCCTACGTCAATTATGTTCGACACTGTAAGCATTAACAATAACATTAACGATAACATAAACGATAATATTCATTTTTGCATTAATCCTGCTGTGTTGTCAAAATGTCATGTTGTCATCATTTTTAAAAGAAGTTAATTAACCTGGTGACATGGTGACGTGGTGACATGGTGACACCCTCAGTTCTTCAAAAATATATTTTTGGTTAAATAGCTTCAGGGTCTATTTCTTCAACCATTTCACTTCCTTCGTCAATGTCAATAGAAGCTTCTTCAACCTTTGGTAAGAATTTCTGTATAACATCTTTGTTCGTTATTGTCTTCAGAGATGAAGGATAATATTTCACATTTGTTTCACCCTTCTTATATTCTTTCTGTTCGGAAAGATTTAAAGCAATACTGAAGAAGTCAATATTGAGTTCTTTATAACAGTATAATGAGTATCTTTGACATTCACGAAGAAACTCTTTTGTTTCAAAACTACTGCTAACTCTTGTGAAGTATAACGTTTGCGGTCAATGACGATAGCTAATGGTCTGACATACTGACCAAACTTAGATTTCTTTCACAAACTTCTTGTTAAAGATAACATTAACGTTTGAAGCATTATTGAACTCATTCTTGATGGCAGTAGCGAGAGCATTGTATGAAAAGAACTTGCAATCTTGCATGTGTTTCATTAAAATAAAAATATTAAATTATTTTGAAAAATAACTTTAAAAAATCTAATCTAATTTTTCAAAATATTTTTTATTCCTACTAAAGATGTATCGGAAGTTGTCTAAGTTAGAACACTCGGAAATAAAACAACTTCTTACAGAAGCTAACATAGAAGTAGCAAAGCATTACGCAACAAACAAAAAAGCACTCGCTGACTTCATTAAAGACTATAATGGTGCAATAAGTTATGATAGAATTCATGAGTTCATAAAGCCGCAACGCGGCGAGGACGAAGTCCATGCAAGAGCATTTCCTTTAAATGACGTTGCTATTGACTTATATCATAGACGTTCAGTACCTCATGAAGTAAGAAGAGAAATGTTTGACATAACAAATGCAAACGTTGGTGAAACAAGAAGAAGAGACGACACACTGAAACAACAGAGAAGAGAGATGTTTAAGAGCGCTATAGAACAAGTTCGCAAAGCTAACGATGTCATTCGTTCCATTGACGACAAACCAAAAGAAGGTGAGAGATGGTTAAAGAAAGATGAAGAGAATAGGAAGAGAAATGTGAAGTCAGGCAATAGACTCATTGACTTTAACATCGAAGCTTTAGATGAACCAAACAGAGACTACTTACACAAACATTTCGGTAAGGTTTTCATGAGACTCTTAGAGAAGATTAAAATAAACTCACAACAGAGATGGATGGTATGTTATAAACTTGGTGGAAAGTATGAATGTTCTACGTTAAACCTCAATAATATTGGAACATTACTACATCAGCTCTTGAAGGAGAACTTTATATCAGAGATAGAAGCAAATGCTGCAGGTATTGTTGAAATGCACTATGACTTCTTCTTGACAAACATAAAGAATCTTACTGAAATAAAGATGTATGATTTAACAGAATATGAAGGCTTAACGATGTCAGATGTAAAGAAAGGCAAACCAAAAAAGAGACCATATAGAGATGAAAGCACACTGACAAATGACCAGAAAGCCATTTTGGAAGCTCTTAAGCAAACAGGAAACCCAGCACTTATAGAAAGCTTTTGGAAAGATAATGGTGAAAAGAAGTTTTATAAGAAGAGAAGCGGTCAGTTCTGGAAGTATCTTTGCACATTACCTATAAATCTTGAACGCTACCAAATCTTCAATGAACTGAACAAAAGAACTGCAGCACTTATGACAGAAGACAATTGTTTCGTTTATGCTTGCATTCAGGCTGGAGTAAATGAAGAAACTATTGACCACATGAGAGAAGTCATTCGTGTTAGAGACTTTCCTCAAAGTAAAGTACAAGAAATTTCTGACGCAACAGGTATAGCATTTAATGTTACCATTGGTTATTTCAATGACTCAAGACATAATGAAATAAAGAGATACATACCAAAAGAATGTGAAACTGTTCGAACTATTGACTTACTTCTTGTTGAAGACCACTACATGCTAAATGAAAGATTACCAATGACAACATATTTCATTCGCAACTATATAGAAATCTTGAAGGAGTGTGGTGGAATGAACATTGAGAAACAAATGAAGATTTATACAAAGAGAGAAGATAAATATGTAGTTCGTTATGATAGAACAACACCGTTATGGGATGTTATGAAAACATTGTGGGAGTGCAAATATTTCGAACCTATTTCTTATGGAGAACTTTTCACATATACTACTGACTTATATAAACAGAACCTTGCACCATTTAAAGATTTGACATATGCTCCAAAGTATTGTGTACAACTGAAGAAGAAAGCCGAGTCAAAAGAAGTAAATAAAAATAAGTGCAAGTTCATTCCTGAGCACGTTTTCTTTGCTGACTTTGAGTGCAGTACCGATGGCTTTCATAAAGCTTTTAACATATGTTACGACAGTGAAGATGGTTCAGTGAGTGAAAGCATTTGGGGTCAGAACTGTGCAACAGAATTTTTGGAGACGACTTCCTGACAAGAGTTTAATATATTTCCATAACCTCAGTTATGATATAAACTTCATCTTAAGACACATGACAGAAGTGAAAGGAACTCCCATCATTAAAGGTTCACGAACAATGCAAATAACTGGCTTATATAAAGGAAGGGCAATTATTATAAAAGACTCTTACAGTGTTATAAATAAGAAGCTTAAACTATTTCCTGCTATGTTTAACTTACAAACAGGACCGAAAGAAGTATTTCCATATACAACTACTACAGCAGTGTTTTGTTAGCAAATGACAACAGAACTGGTGTCATTTCTGAAGCATGTAAGTTTATCCGGGATGCAGATACATTCATGAAAAACATAGATTCCATCAAAGGTTGCAGAATAGATGAGAACCACTTCGACTTAGAAAAGTATAGCACATTTTATTGCAAACAAGATGTAAGAATTTTAAGAGAAGGTTTTGTTAAGTTCCGCAATGACATATTGAAAGAATTTGATTTAAACGTTTATGACTACGTTAGTATTTGTTCAATTGCTAACAAATTGTTTGAGAACAGAGTGTACTTCCCGAATGGAAATTTATATGACCTCTCAAATAAACCAAGAGAATTTATTTCACGCTGTATTCAAGGTGGAAGATGTATGCTGTCAGATAACATTAAACAAAAGAGCGAAAAGAAACTCATTGCTGATTTCGACGCTGTTTCATTATATCCATCAGCTATAGCAAGACTTTATACTTTAGAAGGTATTCCAAAGGTTATGAAGAAAGAAATGTTAAGCACAGAGTATCTCATGAGACATTTATTCGATGACGACCAAAAGGAACCCATTGGTGAAAAGTTTATGTCTGGCTTCTTTGTTCTCATTAAGATAACAGAGATTGGAATACATAGACACTTTCCTTTAATAGTTTGTGACCCTGAACTAAATCCAGAACTTAACGTTCCCAGAAGTTCAAACACTTGCTGTTTAATGTATGTTGACCATATAACATTACAAGACCTCATAAAATATCAAGGTGTCAAATGTGAAGTGTTGCAAGGATACTATTACGATGGAAACAGAGATATTAGAATAAGAGATGAAGTAAAGAAGTTGTTTGAGTTAAGGTTAAAGTATAAGAAAGAAGGAAATCCTTTGCAAGAAAATATAAAGCTCATTCTGAACAGTATTTATGGCAAAACTATTCTATCTCCTATTGAGTCAAAAATAACCATAGTAAATGACAAAGATGCTATAAGATATGCCATCAGAAACTACAACCATATAGTGAAGTTCGAAGGTTTGGATGGTTCAGATAAAACTATTTTCAAGCTAACGAAAAGCATTTGCAGACACTTTAACTTCTGTCCACTTGGTGTTAACATTCTGTCTATGTCGAAGAGAATAATGTGTGAAGTATTCTGTACTGCTGAGGACTTAGGAATGGACATCTTTTATAGCGATACGGACAGTATGCATCTCTACAATGAAGATATCCCTCGTTTAGCTGAAGAGTTTGAGAAACGTTATGGAAGAGTTCTCATTGGTAAAAACCTTGGTCAATTTCATAGCGACTTTGCAGAAATCACAAATGAAAACAAAGTTTAGCATACAAGTCAATATTTTGTGGAAAGAAGACTTACATAGACTTACTCACGAATGATTTAAATGAAGTTGCATTTCACTGCAGAATGAAAGGCGTGAAGCAAGATGTTATTGCTTTAACCGCTAATGAAATGTTTCCTGACTCTGTTCAGTGTTTCTATGATGAAGATAAAGGTTTAATGGTTCCGCAAGGAACATATGACAAAGACTCTGAGTTCAGTTTAATGAACTTTACAAAGCACTTTATGACGGTCAAGAGATTGGATTTGACTTATGTAAGTCATGTCAACCTTGCTTTGAAGAGAAGTTTAACTTCTCAATAACGACTAAAACAAGCTTTATTCGTAAGTTGAAGTTCTGAGGTCATTTATTTTTGTCAGCAATGAGGTCATTCGTAATAAAAATAAGCCGCTAGCGGCAAGGGCGAAGCCCATGTGGTCATTTACAATACTGCGATGGTAGAGTTTAAGAGTTGTGCTTCAATGTAGAGACAGTCCTTATGGTCTGGAGGTAAGAACACTGGGCAGTTATGGTCATGAGTGGAGAACATGTCTATCCAAAACTCACGATTGAAGCCAGTTAATTTATAGTATTTAGGGTTAGGAAGTGGTGAAGTTCTTGTATGACCAATGAACTCATTTTCAACTCCCTTACTTAAGTTTGAATATAATATAGCTTGCTTTCTATCCCAAATACCAGGTGTTACAATCTTTGAAAATTCATTTTTTGAAATCATCACTTGGTTCAGAGATTTGAAATCTTATACGTAATGGATTTTCTTTCTCTTTAGCGACTTCATTGAATGGTGAGAATACAACAAACTGACAGTCATGTGTTCCATCTTCATTTTCATTAAATTCATAATGAAAGTCTATAAGTTGTGGCTGACTACCTTCTTCTTTCAGTTGTGCAAGAAACTCACGTAAAGGCTGTAAAGTTTGTACTTCAATGTTAAACTTTTTCTCGAACATCTCATTAAATGAAGTCATACATTGTTGCAATGTTGTATCGTCTTTAAAGTATTTGTATATGTGAATGTTTTGGGCGCTTAAAGACTGTTCGTCATTTTCTATCTCGACTTGAAGTATAAAGTCAACCTTTCTGAAAGCACGTGTTATATACATAGATGTTATGCCAATGTACTTCTCTTCATTTATGTTCATAATCCAGTCTGTTGGAAACTTAAACGTTACTTTGTTCCCCTTTATTTTGACGTCAGGGTTTTCACTACTGAACGCAACAGATAAAGGTATTTGTCTATACATTTAGTTCCGATAAAAATAAACCATTTACTCTTTCTTTGCTTCAGCTTCTTTAGCTTTTGCTTCAGCTTCTTCTCTAGCTTTCTTCGCCAGCAAACGTGGGTTCTTTTGTCTTCCAGCAGCTAATGCAGCAAGTTGTTTTTCACTAAGTTTTCTCTTTGGTCTCTCTGGCTTTTGTTCTTGTTTTTGTTCCTTCAGTTCGGATAAAATTTGCTCACGAATTTCTTTCTTCAATGCTTCAACATCTATGACCTCTTGGGTCTTGTCTGTAGGGCTTGTCTGAGTCATTTGACTGCAGATAAAAAACAAAATTAAAACTTTAACCGATGTAAAATGAGCTTGTCAAAATCAGAGCGAGAGTCTATTATATTAAATGACGCAAGAGGAATACAACATCCTTTCTATTACGTAAGTCAGAGTAAAGATGGTAAAATATATGTAAGAAAAAGAAAGGTTCCATTAGCGAATGCAGAAAGCGACAACATTAAGGTGTATGGCAAGGGTGAAGTCCATGTTAAGCCTTCTATTCAAACTGAAAAGTCAATAGAACCAGAAGAAAAGAAGCCAGATGTACTTTCAATAACGAACCAAGAGCTTATTGCAAAGTTCGTGAATTTCATTGAAAAACAAACCGAGTCAAAGAATCCTGACCCGCCAGTGAAAGAAGTTGAGATAAAAGAGAATGTACAGTTCATTGAAAATGTCAAGAAACAACTTCCACCACGAATGCCAAGAAGAAGAGTGAGAATAATGAAGTAAATAGATATTTTTATCCGAAGTAAATACATGCAGAACGAACAGTTAAACGAATTTACTCCAGCAGAGCATATTCATCAGATTCGCTCATATTTCGATATCATAGACAATGCAGTTCAAATTGGTGACACTAATAGAAAATATTCTGACGCAAAGATTCCATCACAACCTGGAACTGCTAAAGATAACACATGGGTAACATTCAATCTCTCACCTCCTGGTGAAAATATGTTGGACCTTTACAATACATTCATTACGTATAAAATGGAAGGTCAATTTATTGTAGATAAATAAATTGGTTCAGGTTCCAATAAAACAAACCCACCAGGATTTTGGATTGGTTTCGATGACGCTTTCTATGCAGTTGCTGGATATCAAATCCTTGCAAATGGTCGTATCGTATATTCTCAAGACAACGCAAGAGAAGAAGCATATATAACTTCAAACTCACAAACTACCGAACAAATAAAGAAAGTAGATGTTTTCTCAAAGACTCGACATGAAGATGTATGGAGTCATTCGGGAACATGCAGAACAGGACAAATTGTTAGTGGTCCAATTACAGCAGGAAAATCATTTGATTTTAAGCTTCGTTTAAGAATTCCTGTTAGAAGATTCCTTCCATTAGAAGCTATTCGATTTATTCCAGCTTTTGCAGGAAACATTCAGCTTAAAGTAAAGTTCAGTAGCGACGCCTTACAATGCACATTTATATCTGTAAATGATATCATTGCTTTCAATCCAACTCTTAAAGTTGCATTTGCTTCGGATTCAAATCCACCGACAAATAAATTTGTTCCATGGAATGAACCATTCACTATGATAACGAAGGCAGTAGAAGCTAGTGGAACAGTTACTATTACAACTGTAACCCAGCAACTATTTCGAACAAAGATGGATTTTAATGAATGTTTTCATTCATCCAAAGTCATTCTCTTTAGACCCTAACATTTATACAGAACTTGTAGAACATTATACAAACGAGGCTTTATGTTTTCCTGTTAAAGTTATGGATTGGATTCCTATGGACGGTTCATTCTCAAAGAATACAGATAGTTCAAGTGCAACATTTACAGCAGCTTATACGCCTATTAATGTTAAAAGTATTTGGGCACTATTTAGAAAGAAAGACAACTATTATGTTAATTTTGAGAACCCTAAGTTTAAATATCTTCAGCTTTCCATGGGAGCTTATGGAAATATGCCTGCAGAACCTGAAAAATCATATGGACCTGTATTTTATGAAATGGTTGCGAACGCTTGCAATACAAACAATGATATGATAGGATTTAATGAAGATGTTATGAGGTCATTGGTGGATGATGGTAGTGTGGAACATAAATGGGATAGCTATGACAACACACATTTCTTATGTGGTTTTCCAACAGAAGTGGACTTTTGCTTCCAGCAAGGTCAAACATCTACTGCTCCAATAACATAACAAATTGTCTGTTAAAGGACCTATTGAACTAGCAACTGAAAATGTACCAAAGCCACTTATTGGATTTATGAGGGATTGTTGCTTTGCCATTCAGGTGCGTGCTAATGGCATCCCCATAATAAGATTAGATGACTATAACTTAGCTACGGACGACAGTGAGGAATAAAGGATGAACGTTTATTTTTAAAGCTTATAAATGAGTTCTTCATCAAGCTCTCGTGAACCTTCACCATCTATGAAAAAACGTTACCAAACGATTATGGAGCACCTATTGAATATTTCTTACGAGCTGCACAATGGCAAAGAGCAGTCTCACCAAGGTAGGTGTTCACCAGCTCCTGTCAAAAATAGCATTTGGTCAAGTCCTTATATAAGAATATGGTCTCCCACTAGGTTTGCTAGCTACAGCAGGAGCAGTTATGATGTTGAAAAAGAATAAAGCAAATGTTGTAAATAATATTGAAGTAGCTGAAGTTAAAAAATCCAACACCTTCGCCAAAACCAAAGCCTTCACAACAAAACCTTCAATGACTCCTGAACCTATGGAAGTACAAACTCCTGTTCAAAAGTCAACTCCTAAACCGACTCCAACATTTAAACCAGAACCTACTCCTCAAATAAATCGTAAAACTCCTGCGTTTCCTTACTGAAAAAATAACGTTATTTTTATTTAATATTAAAATTTTTATTTGATTGAAATGACAAATAAAGTCACTGAAGCAATGAAACAAAAGTTTTTGGTAGAATACATTAAATCAGGAACTATTCCAGAAGGTTTTTACATTCATACTATGAAGGATGGTAGAGTTCAGTTTAGAAAGATAAAGCAACCATTAGATAAAGAAGGAATTTTGAGAAAGATTAAACTTCATGAGGACAACATTGCTGAACTTAAGAAGAAGTTAGAAGAGTTGGAGAAAGGAAGAGAGTTATAAAGCAATGAATTCAACAGGGTGAAAAAACAGGTGAAAAAAGAGGTGAGATCTCACCACTTCACCTAAATATATTTTTGTGCTATGTTTTCATACGTGCGAAGTCGTTAGTGAAGTCGTTAGTGAAGTCGTTTATGTGTCAGACGTGAAGAAAGCAACTAAAAAGAAACCAAGGAAGAGAGTTATAAAGCAATGAATTCAAGAGGGTGAAAAAACAGGTGAAAAAAGAGGTGAGATCTCACCACTTCACCTAAATTTATTTTTGTGCTATGTTTTCATACGTGTGGGAGTGGTGATATCATTAATTTTTAAGTTTATTTTTTATTTTATTTTTTATTTAATTTTTATATAAATGACGAAAACTATTGAGATAACAAACTACAACGGTCATGAGTTCAAGAATTTGTTCTTCGTTCCTCGTGAAAATACATTCTATCAGATACGAGGGAGAAAGGGTAAAGTTAGTTTGAGCGTTTATGAAGGAATGAAGAATGGAAAGTTTATACAAGCATACGATACAAACGGTAAGCGTGTTTCATTAGCTTTGTCAAAACTTACTAACATTTATTTTGACAGTGACTTTGACTCTGACGATTGGAGTGACAGCAGCGATACTGAAGAATATGAACTATTGTGTGAAGCACAGCAATGGGAAGAGTTGCAATACTTTTGTAAGTGAGAACGTTTATTTTTTACAGTAGTGAAGTCGTTTGTGAAAACGTTAGTGAGGTGAAGTAGTTGGCGGCTTTGTAAATATTTAAGGTTAAGTTAGTGTCGTCGTTTGTGTTGTAAAATATACGTTAGCGGTTTCGTAAAGTGTCAAATTCACATAACAAGGGTAAGGAGACGCGCAGTGCCTCAGTACACTTGTTATGTATACTAACTGTGGAAATGATAGAGGGACAAAGATTTAGAAAGTTAGGATGTGAATTTAAAGCAGAAAGATCGGGAAGGGGTCCTTTCTCAAGGTCAGGGCCCCCTTCTAGTCTTTCTGGTGCCGGAAGGAGCGCTTCTGACCGGTCTGGGCGCTCCTTCCGGCATCATCTTTGCATTTCCCAATTGTCGCGGCAAGTGCATTCTGGCACCGCAGGTGCACTTGCTTTAAAGTGGGAATAGAGCCTTTTTGGGGCACTATATATGAATCAGTGCCTCAAAAGGCTCTATTCCCACTAGAAATTGCCAAAACTTGCGTCTGATTGCAAACAATCAGACGCAAGTTTTGGCATGTTAAAGAGGGAATTGTTCCCTCTGATGTATATATTAAGAATATATACATTAGAGGGAACAATTCCCTCTAGAAAGTGAGGAAACTTTCTCCGCAATATAACTTATTTGCTGAAAATTTCGTACATTATGAATGAAGATGTTGAAGTTGATGTAGATGAGAATGAAACTCCTCTTTTGATAAATTTAGTTGCTGATTATGTGACAGAAAGAATTCAATGCGAAAGTTCCGATTTATATCCACCAATTCTTGCAATCCTAGCTCACAAAGGTGAAATTGCTGAATATTTGATATCAATTGGGATAGAAAGTCAAATTTTAGATTTATTATCAATATTATATGTGATTTGATCGTTGAATATGGAGATATTCTCTATGATTATCTAATTGATTCATTTGTTTAAATGTTGAATGCGGTATCTTATCAAGGATTGATTCCGATACTTTATGTTTTATGTGAATATACCATTATTGCCCCTCTTGATTACAGATTAAAAGTTTGCACCTCAGATTTCTTTGATCGCCTCGGTTCTTCAATAGATGAGGCTATGCCAACGTCTGTTGAAAAGATTTCATCTATGATATTGGCTTTAATTGAAGATCCAAATGATACCGAAAGGCCATTTGATGATATTATAAAAGAATCAGGGATATATGAAGAAATATCTGACTATTTTGAAAACAGTGACGAAAAACTTCCGATTACATCTCATTTACTTGATATTTTGGTAATTGAATAATATATCTACTTTTTATTTCATTTTGAATGAATGTTTATTACCATTATTCATATATAAAGTGTTTGTATACATCTAAGAAAGTATCATTAAGTATTTTTCGCAAAGCGCAATTTTTAAAATTGTCACTCTAAAATGCATCAAATCCTATGTCCTATTTTGTTATGTTTGATTACATTTATCATGTTTCTACTTACATTGTTTCCAAATTCATTTCACGAATTTTCACAGATGATAAATGTAATCAAAGTAAAACACTCAAGTCCTATCTTCGAAATAGTATTGAAAAATATATTCATTTAAATAGCATATACATAATAATTTACAAACAAACAAAAAAATACTAATTTAAACTTGAGGAAGATCCTCTCCTGCAAGAACAATCAGGTCCAACCTATGATTGGAGAAAACAATTACCGAAAATAAGCCTATGGAAAAGGCAACATCAACAACAGTCACGTAAACATGAAAAAAAAATCATCTATATAAAGACTCAATATATGAAATATGTCATACACGATTGATATGATATATAATGCAACTAGCCCTCCATATGAGAGCTCTTTAATTTCTTCAGGCCACTCTGTATTGAATGTTTTGATAAAATCATATCTCGATTTAAGCCTAAGAAGAGTAACAGAAACAAATAACAGCGCATTTATTATTACAGCAAATGCTGTGGATAGCCATTCAATTTTATATGATAATTGAGTGGAAATAATGAATGTTAAAACTAAAATGTATGGCATTATGTATTTAACTTTCTCACAGCATGTTGGCATTAAACCAGAATATGAAATCGTCAACGCAAACATTGTGAGAGCCGATAAAATTGTAATATAAGCAATCGAGTGCAAAATCATAGAAAATCTTTTTGGAAATATATCAATTCCGCTGAACATCATAAATATATAGCGCATGCATATAATTGAATATAATAACGAAACAAGAATTCCCGAATATAAAATGAATTTTTGTGTGAAATTAAAATGGCCTGTAAGTTGACTCATATAGACTATAAGGAGTACCAAATCCATGGCTATTAGTAGTAATTGTATTCCTATCAAATAAACATCTCTAATATCATAAAAAATGCGCCATTTTTGAATACGGCTGTAAATTCTTCTTGAGAAATTATATCATAAACTACAGGAAATAATTTAATTTCGTAAATTCCTTCTTTTGGAGTGAAATAGAAATATGAATTTCCTGGATAAATCTGTTTTGAATAGTTTTGGCAATCATTCGTAAATAAGCATAGATGCACTTTGCAAAATGAAAGTTTGTACTGCATGAATGAAGGTTTGAAATGACTAAAATTGAAAAACATATACCCTTCATTGGAAAACTTAAATGTTCCGAGTCTGTATTCTGTAACATTTGATCCTAACATTGTTTGTTTGTATAAAAGGAGCGAATGAATGAGCATATGAATTAAGGATATAATTGAATTGAGTTTATAATCGTACTTTATCATGAAAGTTAATTAAAATGTTGCTGATAGCTAACATTGATAATATTGTATTCTGAAGTATTCAAACTGATTCTACAGGTACGATTATTTTATTTTATCTCATTTATTCAAATTTAGGAAGAAATCATTAACCAATGAGGTCAATATTTCGGAGCATAAAAACTACATGATCATGATGTTGTTCCCAAATTATATCAGCTAGTTAATTGGAACGGAGAGCGGAACATCTCACAAAAATTGACGTTGTAAAGTTCAACTGAGTACCTATTGTATGCATGTGATTTTTTGGAATTTTTTACATATCATAACTTCAAATCTTAATCGACGAAAACCTTTGTTTTTAGTTATTTAATCTATAGGCATCAAACACAGGTATTCCGGGAAAATGCAATTTGTAACTTTCACAAATCTCGGGGAGTAATTTTGAATGAATTCGGAAGAAATTGAGAGATGAAGAAGGAAAAAAGGAAGAAAATAAAAAAATTAAAATCTTATAATTTAGTTCCATACATGATTATAGGCAAACTAGAAACTAGATCTTTTTACACATGAATAAGATGACTTTTTACTTGAGGAACATTTAATATATACAATTTATTAAAGCTTTAAAAATAATCTTTATTTAATCATTGTCAATTCCGAGATTATTTAGAATAGTTTGGACAACTGTTTCTTGTTCGTCATTCTCAGGATCAAGTTCGTTGACCAAGAAATCGACTAAATCTGATTCCAACAAAAAATCTTTGGAAGACGCAGTTGGTTTTCCTAAATTAACATTTTCTGATACAATTAATAAGATTCTTAAAGGAATTTTTGATTCTTCGAAAGAAGGATCGAGCATTTCAATCAAAATCGATATAAATTCTTCTGTTAAGTAAACAATTAATGAGTCTGATAAATTCACCATTTTTTCTATTATTCTGAGTAAAATTTTTCGATTTGTAAATTGAGATTGAATAAAAAATTCAATTAAATGCTGAAATAGTTCATGACTGAATTCTGAACCAATTTCATTGTTGTTTAGACTGTGATAAATACTTAGAACATCAATAGCTAAAGAAAATGCAAAATTTGATTTCCCAAGATTGTTCTGATGAAAAACAAATGATGTGATTGAAAACAAGTATATTTTATCATATATGTGATGCGAAAATGATTGGTCATTAGGTTGAAAAATTAAATCTTGATTATATAAGCCAATTAAAATTGAATATACATAAGTTTTGTACTTCAATTTTTGCTCTAACAGTAAAATACCATCATAGAAAGAATCTGAAATATTATAAATTAAATTGGGGATAATTTTGATAATAAAATCGATTGATTTCAAAAATTGAATCATTTCATCATCACATATAATATCGAATCCAATTTCTGGTATTGAATTTAAAAGAAATAGGAGAATTTCTAAATTTGAATCATTGAGCTCAATTTTTAGGTTTTTCAACAGGACACATGAAATTATTAATGATGGAACAATTTCATTGCTGTAATCTTCAATAAATTCTCTGTTTTCTGCAAAAGATTTGAAAATAAATCAAAACTCAAATTATCCAAAATAAACGAAGGTATTTGTGTGGATTTAGTAAGAAGTATAAGCATACAATGTAATGAGGAAGGGATATGAAAATTGTCTATGATTGCTTCAATTATTATCTGATTATTAATAAATTTCTTTATTGTATGCTCATCTGATATTTCTAAAAGTAATTCTATAATGCGTATGGTGTAGTCTTCTATTAATATTGGAAAATCTTGAATAATATGAACTAATATTAACAATCCGTCATTTTCATTAAATATTTCAATGTATTCAATATGCCTATATTGCAAATATTCAATAATATTCGCTAACGAGTGTTCTAATTGTTCATCATCTGTTTGATTTTCTAGAATTTTGTGCAAAATGGCTTCAAATTCATTCAAATGCAGTACAATATCTTTGTTATCGGCCAGTGTGGTGAAATCCCTCATGCTTTTTGTATTATCGTTGATTTTATAAAAGTCCATTTCATTACTCCAATAATTTTGAAGTGAAAAAATGCTTATTTTTTCTTTAATATATTATACATATGCAATTGTGGCTATACTTTATAATAGTCAACTCCAAACTTTTTCAAATGCGCAAAATATGCGCAGATTCAATTTTAAATAATCTTTTTTGCGCATTTTTTGCACCCCATGTAAAACCCTGAGGATTAGGTTCATTCGATTTCAGTAAGTCAATCATTAAGTGTTTAATTCGTCATAATAATGTTTAATCATAATAAAATAATTTGAATTAATATTTTACTGAATCTTCTCCAATATATGCTACATTGACACAGTGGTACAGTCAAATATTCCTGATTCAGGTTAATTTGAAATAGTTCATCGCTATGACATAAATATCTGGTCAGGTTACTTAAACTTTTAGGTAGTTTCTTACATTATTTTTTGCAACTTCGAATACAGTTTTTCCTTCTTTATCTTTTGCTTCTTTATCAGCTCCAACAGAGATAAGATATTTAACAACTTCAAGATGACCAAATCTTGATGCATAAATGAGTGGAGTTTTTCCATTATTATTCTTTGCTTCTTTATCAGCTCCAACAGAAATAAGATATTTAACAACTTCAAGATGACCAAATCTTGATGCATAAATGAGTGGAGTCCATCCATTATTATTCTTTGCTTCTTTATCAGCTCCAACAGAGATAAGATATTTAACAACTTCAAGATGACCATTATCTGATGCTATAATGAGTGGAGTATCTCCATAATTATCCTTTGCTTCTTTATCAGCTCCAACAGAAATAAAATATTTCACTAGTTCAAGATGACCATCCATTGATGCTTCAATGAGTGGAGTATATCCATATTTATCCTTTGCTTCTTTATCAGCTCCATTAGAGATAAGATATTTAACAACTTCAAGATGACCATTTCTTGATGCACAAATGAGCGGAGTCCATCCATATTTATTCTTTGCTTCTTTATCAGCTCCAACAGAGATAAGATATTTGACAACTTCAAGTTCACCATTAGATGATGCCTCAATGAGTGGAGTATATCCATCATCATCCTTTGCTTCTTTATTGCACCTACATTCTATGTGTGATTTGACAAGCCCGAGATTTCCTTTAACACATGCTGTATGAATTTCATTAGTTTGATTGTCATTTGTTTCTTTGGCAGCATTTTGTCTTGGATTTTGAATTTCTTTTATTTTTGATTGATGTTTTTGAATTTCTTCTGTGGAAAGAGGTATTTCTTTTTCTTTTTGATCCAAAATATCAATGATACCATCAAATATATTGAATTTCATGTATTTTTTGACAGATTTCAGAGTTGAAACGATTTCTTCCATGTTTTGGATAGTAACATTTGCATTTCGTGTACACATATATAATTCTTTGGCCTTGATAGCTGAAGATGATTGTTTGAGAAGAGTAATGTATTGATTTGATGTTAAATTTGAATATTTCATGATTTGTTTAATATCCTCGATGTCAAATGTATCGAAGAAGTTTTCACTTTTAATATAATCGCTGATATGAGCAGCAATGTATTCGTAATTCAGATTCATGTCCTGAGCTACTTTTGAAATTTCATAACTTTACAAAAAAAATTTCCATTATTCAATTTTCTTTTCCACAATTCAATTTTTTTTGCAATAAAATTGCCTTGAAAATTTCGGTTTCACTTTTATACTCGGATGTTATCATATAGCTGTAATAAACAGAAATTCATCAAAAGTGACAGCTCTCAATTTTTTGACATTTGTAAATTCTAAATTGAATGAGAAAAATGAAATAATACTAAGCATAATACAATATTCTAGATTTAATTATAATTAGGAAAAAGTTAGTTTTGAGAGTACTTTTCATAGGCATATAGAATGAAATCTTCTGAAAAATAATATCACATAAACTCATATTATTTTCTAATATATAACTATTTTATATAAAAATCAAATTCAATGATCTTAAAAGCGAAGGATAAACCTCAAAATTTACGAATATAATGAGTGGGAATATAATGCTTATCTATCATAAAACCATATGAAATATCAATTTTTGCTTTACGCCTAATTTTTGACGACAATTAGCAAAAAATGTTAAATGTTAACACTCAGTCCATTTGAATATGAAAAATAAAATTGACTTTGATTAAATGTTTTTATTTATCATGCAATTCTTCTTGCGACCAAAGATTTGAATAAAAGTTCAAAAAATAAGATAGCTTAAAAAATAATATACGGTAGTGTTTACTAATAGATGAATAGTATATAAATTCTATTAAAATGGATTTGATCCAAAAAAATATAAAACCAAAAATAATTGTTATAATTTAAATGAAGAAGTAATTTAAAACGATTTTATTTATGATCAAATTTTATATATTTTTTTGGATCAAATCCATTTTAATAGAATTTATATACTATTCATCTATTAGTAAACACTACCGTATATTATTTTTAAGCTATCTTATTTTTTGAACTTTTATTCAAATCTTTGGTCGCAAGAAGAATTGCATGATAAATAAAAACATTTAATCAAAGTCAATTTTATTTTTCATATTCAAATGGACTGAGTGTTAACATTTAACATTTTTTGCTAATTGTCGTCAAAAATTAGGCGTAAAGCAAAAATTGATATTTCATATGGTTTTATGATAGATAAGCATTATATTCCCACTCATTATATTCGTAAATTTTGAGGTTTATCCTTCGCTTTTAAGATCATTGAATTTGATTTTTATATAAAATAGTTATATATTAGAAAATAATATGAGTTTATGTGATATTATTTTTCAGAAGATTTTGTGTTCTTCTTCAAAATTTTATTTTTTTATTAAAAAGAATCTTTACAAAATATACATTTACTTTAATTAATATTTAAAAACGTGCTCTATCAAAAGTTCCAAAAATTCAATATTTTAGCTTTTCTGAGGTGTCACTTTTGATGAATTTCTGTTTACAACATAGCAAATGATGATTATCAAACACACGAGATTATTCAAATGATTTTCGTTACCTTCAATTCTTGTGTTTGAATAAACATAATTTTTATTTTACATCATATCTTCCTGAAAATCTTCCCAAACTTAAATAATTTACTTCCGAAATTGAAATTAACTTCCAAATCGGCATTACTACCTATTTTCTATCAATAATGATGTAATATATAAAGAAAGAATAACATAAAACATTTATTATAACAATAAAAATTAAAATAGTGTTGGTTTTTGTGGAGATTCAAGTGCTTCAACTTTCTCTTGAACTGTTTGACCACTTGAATTTTCATCGTGATCTAATTCTAAGAAAACCATATCAGCATCTGAAGAACTCGAAACAATTGCTGTATAAACAACTTTTTTAACGTTCTTCTCTGGAATTCCATCTCCAATTTCAACAGCATCTTTATAAGAAACAACGCATTTCGGAATTTTTCTAGATGAGCTCGCATCATAATCGGAATCATCAGAATCATTAACGCCTAATTTCTTCAATCTCTCGAGTTGTTCTTCGAGTTCTGTCTTCTGTTTCTTTCTTCTTGCAGGATCTAATGTATAAACTTTCTCACTTTGGGTTGATTGAGAAGACAAAACTAATTCAGTTGTTTTATTATTGAAATCTGATTTAGAACTCTTCAAAATTTTCTTCATATTTTGAGTAACTATTGTTTCATTATGTGTTGTTATTTTCTCTGTTTTCTGATGTATTTTATTCATCTGACTAACTTTATCTTTGATCATTTCGTGTTCTGGAATAACAACTCTATCTTGTGGTACATCAAATATTTCACTGTTGATTTCTTCTTCTTCAGAAAGTAATTTATCAGCTTCTTCCAGTAATTTGTTTCCTTTTTGCATGCTAATAGAAATTTTTTGTCTGTCGTTATTAAACTTTTGATTTGTTTGTGGATCTGATGGTGTAGATGCTGATGCTGTATCAAATATTGTTGATGACTCAAGTTTGATCTGTTTTGGTGACTTTGCCGGACTATTTTCTTTTCCATACCTTAGAATTGAATCAATTCTTGATGAATAGCTGCTTCCTGTGTATTGTGGAGATTTGTGACCTTTGTCTAAGAACATTTCAGTTGTATCATTGTTGCTATCATTGTAGATGTCACTGAAATTGCCTGGTTTCTTATTTTGATTGGAAATTTCGTTCATTTCATCATCCTTTTCGTACCTATCAAGTAAGGAACGAGTATGATTAAGATATGCATCATCTGTTGGCGAATTATTATCTTTTTGTTGTGATTTTTCTGGGAAAATGATTTGAGGTTTTGTATTCTTAGGACTCGGGCTCTTCTTTTCTTGTTCTGGTGTCTTTGGAATATATAGATTATCTGTGTTAGCAAGATTTGGTGTTCTTGGTGAAATAAATGGTGAATTTGTTTTTGTTGGAGAAATTGGAGTTGTATCTATAGATGCAGGTCTTCCTTTCGATAATTTTGGCTCTCTTAATGTACTGGATGATGGTTTGATCTGGGATATCTTGCCGGATTTTTGATTTGTGAGTTTTGACATTATATTATTTGCTTCGTCAATAAGATCATTCTCGCTATCGCTGAATTGTGGATTAGAAGAGTATAAATCTTCGGAATAGTATTCAGTTGAGCTTGAATTTGAAACTTTTTCTGGCTCAACAATTTCTTTTTCTTTTTTGCTGCTTTTTGTACTCTTTGGAGTTGCTTGTGCTTCTGTATTGGATTTTGGACTCCTTGGTGGCGTTTTTTCTTTATCAAAAAACCTTGTACCATCAAGAAGTTTCGAATCAAAAATAATTTCAGAAGGAGTTTTAAGATTCCTTGTTTTTTGGGCGATTGGCATTGAAAGTTCAAGATGAACATCTTGAGGTAACTCTTCTTTAACGAGAATTGACTGTTCATCTTGTTTAATTTGATCTCTTTTTTCATCAACAACTGCTTCGGGTGTAGAGTAATCCAAAAGCTGTCGCTTCTTTTCCATTTCAAGTATGGCTTGTTGTTCTCTCGCTCCTTTGCGCTTCTGTGATTTATAATACCAATATGAAAGCCAATGATGTAAAATATAACGTCTTCTAATTAAACTGTATTTATGTTGTGCTTCAAATAGTTCGTATTTATTGGGAACGATTTCCTTTCGCTTATTCGTTTCATTTTCGACTGTTTTTGCTCTGAAATGTATTTTACCATAGCCTTTATAGAAAATTTTGTGCAAATAAAGTAATTCTTGTGCTTTTACTATCTGACCACGAGGAAGAGTTTGTGTTGCTGAGCTTCGAAGCCGTATTTCCTTCTTATTAGGAGAAACATTACGTTTTCTTTTCTTGTATGGTTTATAATTAGCATAATTGACTGGAGATGGTGCGCGTGGCTTAACTTGCTCGAAAATATTATAAGCCATTTGAATTTTACCAATCAAATCATTGCTTGTCATAAATTTTGAGTAAAAAAATAAACTGCGGGACAAAACCTAGGTGACTCTCAATTTTTGAGAGAGAGCGTATGGTAAGTATGGATTCCAGCTAGAAACCTAGTGGTTTTATATTGCCAGATCACTTATTAAGCAATGTAAACACCTATGGAAATAGGTTGTTGCATTAAATGCTTGTTTTAATATCATATAGAATCTTATTTTCCAAATTAGCTCAGAAATTCGAAAAACATACATGTGCATCCTACGCACATGATATTTGCTGATAATTGGCGAGTTTACATTAAGATTGCATTACTATTTCAACAGAATATGATGAAATATCCTCAGAAAGTTTGGATAAAAACGAAATTTCCATGGAAACACGTGGAAGTATTATTTATATATTTGATTGTTTTATTGTTTAAGCTGAATAAAAAAAATAATCGTCTGGGACAAAACCTAGGTGAGAAATTCTGACAATATTTGAATGAAACTCATAGAATTAATTCAATGTGTCTTATCAAAAAGTCTGATCCTCACCTAGGTTTTGTCACGCAGTTTACGTTTAGTATAGGAATTTTAGAATGTCGAGCAAGTTTTCTCTTTTTTTGATAAGAAACCAAATGCTGCGGAGCACTGATAATGTATTTGTATCTCACAGCCTTTGGTTTCTTGTAGAAAGCTGGGAAACTTTCTTCAAATGATCTGTTATTCGAAGAAAGATTCCCAGCTTTCTAGTGGGATTTGCTCCTTATGAGGTATATATTCTTACTATGTACCTTATAAGGAGCAAGTCCCTACCAAAAATGAGAAAACTTGCTCGAAATGCGAAAGAATATCGAGCAAGTTTTCTCGTTTTTAGTAATAAACCAAAAGATGTGAGGCACTGATAATGTCTTTACTATGTTTTTTTTTAAAATTTTTATTATCTTCCCAGCTTTCTACAAGAAAGGAAATTATAAAATTATTTAGACTTAAGTCATAAATTACTTAACAAAATGGCTAAAAATTGGGTGCAATTGTTGACATTGCACCCAATTTTTAGCCATTTTGGCTAGGAATTGGAGGGTGTGAGTACTATAGCACGTAATAGTATCTCACACCCTCCAATTCTTCCTATGGCAACGAAAAATTTTCTTAAATGTAAATATTATTAAATCTTTTATTTTATTTAAACAACTCTAATTTAAATGTTATTTAAATATTAATTTTATTAATAAATAAACATTTATTAATAATAATTTAATAATTTATTAAATTTATTAAATTAACATGCAACAATTCTTTAGGTAAAAAATCAAATTTGAAAAAAGTAGTTTTGGGTGCATCATTCCGTAATACATGCGAAATCACAGAATTCGCTGGCTGCGACCGCCTTAAAATCTCTCCAGCCTTTCTTAAGGAACTCCAGGAATCAAATGCAGAATTTCCACGCAAGCCCGAGAATAAGAGTGAAATCCTTCAGAGGCTGAATTCCTTTGGGAACATAACATGGATACAATGGCTGTTGAGAAACTCACTCAAGGCTTTTGTAACTTCGCAGCTGGCACTGAGAAGTTAGAGGCTATGCTCTTATCCATGTTATAAATTCATTATCTCGCATTAAAAAAAAATATTAGTTTTTTTTTTAAATATAAAAAAAATTCAAAGTATAACTTTCTGACATCCTCTCAATTTTTTGCCAACCGAGCATTATATCCCAATTTTCTATTGTATTAAGTATACAGGGAATGGTGGGTGACGCTCATATATACCATTTAAAGTGTAATGTTCTTATTAAATTATCACCTTCTTCAGCATCATCGTCATCATCATATCGCCATATAAATTATATTCATCAACGTCTTCAACTTCGTAATATTGATTATATTCATAATCTTCATCAAATTCATCATTTTCTTCATGTTCTCCTGATTTTTCCTTTGCACCATGTGAAATAAGAAATTCTGCTGTATCGTTTTCGCCAAAATATTGTGCAAAATAAAGAGCAGTTTTTCTTTGGTGTGTTGTTGCATTAATATCTGCTCCGTGTGAAATAAGGAATTCTACCATATCTAAACTTTTCATTGCTGCGTAATGAAGTGGAGTTACTCCATCTTTATCTTTTGCGTTGATATCTAATCCGTGTGAAATTAAAACCTCAACTATTTCTTTCGATTTATGTATTGTAGCATAATGAAGAGCTGTTTTTGTGAAATTGGCTCCACTTTCGATGGCGCATATAATAGTTTTTGGAATTTTATAATAATAAAATGCATGTAAAATATCAAATTTTTTGACTGCACTTTGCTTGAATTTTTTAAATATATATACAAGTAAATCATCAATATTGAATCTGAGTTGATGATTATCAAAAGAAGATATTTGTCCTGAATCAATTGCTATCAAAAATGCTTCAAGATTATAATAATCTGTTACAATATAACAAATATCTTGATGAGGAAAGTTGTTATTTAAATAGTTGAAAAAATCGATGTTGTGTGATATAATTGCATATTTAACACATTCACTAATATTTGAAGAATCTATTAAAGGTAATGATTCATGTATAATCCGTGGATTTCCACCTAAGAATGATAATGCAATCGAAAAATAAGAAGGTTCAAAATTATGATTCTGTCTTAAATATAAATAGCATTTTTCTGAACCATAATAAGAGCAAACTTCCAAAAGATTGAATTTCTCCTCAGCATTAAATAAACATTTGTTCATTTTGATATTGATGTGAAAACCTGGCTGATTGACTATGTATATCATTGTTTCGAGATCATCATTCATGATTGAATTAAATAATGATTTTGGTTTCAAAAGTTCGTAGTAGTCTCCAAAAGAACTGTCTGTTATTTGCTTGTTATTTTCGAATGCAGAGATAACATCTTTGAGTTCAGTTACAAACCACGGATTTATTTTATTATTTTTAAGACTGTTAATCAAGTCATAGAGCTTTAAATATGCTTTCATGTAACGATCCCTAAAATAAAGACATCTTCCCACTATTAATAGAATGTCCGATGTTTTTAAATGATATTTATTTATCAAGATTTCTTTAACTTTGATAAAAGTGCTTTCAACCTTGTCATTTGTGAGTTTATATATACTTCTCATTGCATCAATATAATCAGCATATGTTCTAATTAAATCAGCTCCTGTTAATTCCTGTGCAATGTCTTGATCCATTGACATAACAATATTTTTTTGGGATAAAATAACCAACATTAAATTTTTTCCTCAATTTTTTTTCCCACCAAATTGGATCCAGGATGACCAAACTTGAATTTAGGATGATATTGAGCATAAATTGCTACTACACTCATTTTATACATAATTCAAATTTTTTTTCCACAATTAATTGTTTCAAATTTGATAAGTATAGTCTTTTCCTATTATTTGGTATAAGGCAAGACATAAAAGCTTCCGAACTCGAGAAATTTCACGGTATAAAAACATTTTTGAAAAGTGAAATGAAATTTCAAGTATCAGTACTCACGAAAAGAGTAGGGGTAATTTTAGCTAAAAGTGACACGCCTGTAAAAAGTGACGCACTAGTGAAGGGTGTGATTACCGATCGGTAATTTCGACAGTTTAGAATTTAAAATTTTTTATGGAACTGTTGCGAGTTTCATAAAGAATTTAAGGAATATAAGCAAAGATTTGAATCAAAATCTTAGACCTAAGCCGCTCGATTCGCTCGCAGCTTCCGCGAATTACAGATCAGCAAAGATTTGAATCAAAATCTTCGAACTAAGCCGATCGCTTCGCTCGCGGCTTTCTTTATTATTTTAAATTTGCATATTTCCATCAAAAGTTCATAAGGTAAAAAATTTCGTTTATTTTTACTAAGAAAAAAAAGGTTTTTGATAATAAATTTATTTTATTTCGAAAAAGTAACAATAATCGTAAAAGGGTATTGATAGGCTTGCTAAAGTAACTAATTTTAGCTGTCAAATACTTTTGTATTTTGAAGTAAATTAGTATAAATTTGTTTTTACTTTTATTTCGAAAAAGTAGCAATAATCGTAAAAGGGTATTGATAGGCTTGCTAAAGTAACTAATTTTAGCTGTCAAATACTTTTGTATTTTGAAGTAAATTAGTATAAATTTGATATTATTTTAACTCCCTTTGAAAACCTCAATTTTCCATACAGATGGAACGGGAATAGCATCCAATATTCCCTGAGAATGGTTGCGCATTCTCAGTTCCCTCTATATTTCGAACGAAGCTCTTATCGGTCTTTTTTTAATACTAAACGTTTTTTTTTCCTGTCACTTTTAGCTAAAATTTGGGTTTGCCCTCACGAAAAAGGTAAAAATAAACGGTAATAGATTTTTATGTAAAAAGAAATCATAGTTCGTATATCAAGAACAGTATTAAATAAATTTAATAAACTGCATTCTTGGGTTGCTCTTCTTCTGGCTTTCCAAGTGGGGTCATCTCGAAATTCTTAGGACCAATAGCAGAGAACCTCTTTGAAGCATTAGGATCGACAGCTTCAGCCCATGGATGGCGGATGCGGTATAAAACATTGATAGAGCAGAGGATGACAAGAATAGCGTAGATTAAAACTGTCCAAAGCATTGTTTTTCCGATTTTCTTTCTTTCAGCCTCGTCCTTGTATTCAATGCCAACATTACCTTGATGTCCGTTCATGAAGAGGCCGCCCATAATGCCTAAAAAGATAATGCCCCAGATACCGATAACGATGTAGCATGAGCCATATCCAACACCGCAGCAGCATTTAACAAGCCCGTTGACCATTTTTTTTCTTAATAAAAGTGTCACTCTCATCTGAATCATCGTCTTTGCATTTGCACATAATAGCGAAACTTGCATTCGTTGTTCCAATATAATATTTATCAGATGAACTAAGTGTTAGGTATACTTGATTATGAAAACTAATTCCATCAAAAACGCATTAACTATTTGGAATACACTGGCAAAATTTCTGAATTCATTTGTATTTGTAGTATACAATACAATACCTGTGTGACTAAAAGTTGCAGCCCGCACGCATTTTCCAATCATCTTATTTAGGTTGCTCTTCTATTTGTTACTTTTTTGTTTATCAAAAAATCACTGCGCTATATTTGCTTCTTTTTTGTGAATATAGCAAATAAGATCAACTAAAAATTATTTGATCTTTGCTCCTTTTTGAGAGAATTGGTTGGTTGCGATTTAATTTCTCAATTCGATTGAAAAATTTTAAAATTGTAAAAAAAATCAGCTGTTGAATAAATATATATAAAGATTCGTGTATTTTATAAAAACACCATAGGTTTAAGTTCATATGAGTTTGTTGATTTGTAAATACAACATCATATTCAATCAATACGTATTTTATAGGAATTCTGCTACCTAGATATTGATTGCAACAATATGAATAAGAAGGTTTTTATATTCATCTCAACTAGAGAAAGAAGATATGTGAATTTTTAGATTTGATTTCGCAAAAAATCGTCAAATTCTATATCCGTTATACAGAATGAAGAAAGAAATAGCATTTGCATCATGATTTCCAATGCAGAATTGTCATTAGACATTAATCTTTAGAACCTGGGAAAAAAATATTAAAAAAATTTGTTAGTGCAATCAAATGATTCAAAGTTCACTTGCCTCAGACTATTCAAAACAATATGCTGACTTTATTGAGGCATTTGAAAAGCTTTTCCAAATCAAATATAACGAATCTATTGAAGATATTTGCAATATTATTACCAACGTTTTGATTACGAAGTATAAACTTTCAATCAAGCAACTTAAAAAGATTATTCTCATGGCATCTCAATACAATTATTCTTCTAGAGAAAATTACATCAGAATACTCGAGCATATTGGTGCTGACTTTTCTAAAATTCAGGCATCAATATTCCCGATGGAGGATTCAATTGAATTTATAGTTATGCATGATCAAATTGATAAGTTCAAGGAATATATTACTCAAAAAAGAATAGAACTTGATCTATGTTTTCTTAGAATTCCTGATATTTCAAACACATTTCATTCTATAAAGTTATCATTGATTGAAGCATGTGCCTATTTTGGATCTGTTAACATTTTCCATTTCTTACTTTCAAATCAAATATGCGAAAAGACACAGAATTGTCTTCACTGCTCAATAATTGGCAGAAACACAGATATTATCAACGAATGTTTGAAAGATTATGAAATAAATATTGATTGTCTCAAATACATTGTAAGCTCACATAATAATGAAATGCTTGAATATGTCATTGAAAATAAAGATTTTGTATTTGAAGAATGGATTCAAAATATCAAAACATCCGAATTGCAGCAGAATTTAAAAGAAAAGAAATAGCAGAGCTTCTTCTTTCTCACGGTGCAACAGTAGATGATTATATTAAGGGGAAGCTTGCCCAAATTAACTCTTCCAACGATGAGGAAAAAGAGTATAAGGAATTATAAGAGGATGAAATGAGAAATGTGAGACAGTGAAGAAGAATTGCGGACTCAAACCTCGAAGAGGAAAGCGAAGATGAAAACCCCAACGGGAGTACTGACACTTAAACAAAATGGGACAACGAACAGAACGAACAGAAAATTCTTGAGCACGAAATGATTTTTATTTGAGACGATTCCGAAAATGATGTTATTTGATCTGAGAATAAAAAAATATTGAAAATTGAAAAAAAGAGAAATAGATATGCAATATATCTGTTTATAAGATCTTGACAACGTTCAATATCCTAATCTATGTTGATAATTATATATATAATTGTACAATCTGTTGGTAGAGTGCGCTGTACTTCTGCTCATTTCTCCCGATGAGAGTATTGTAGATGTCGTCGTCTTCCTCGGCCGTGTTGAAGAGGATAGCAGAATAGCATATGAAATACTCCAGGCCTGAGAATCTCACCAAACAGTGTTCGATTCTCGTCGAAAATGTTTGTTTCGCGCACACCCTTGAATGTTGCATATATGATGCATATGGCATCCTAGCTACAAACAGCGTGTGTATGCTCGTTTAATGGTGTCGCAAATAAATTACACCAATTATCTATATTGTTCTTGTATTTCGTTGTTGTCCACAACCATTTGTTTACATAATAAATTTTCTAAAAATCTTTGTTATTATCCATTATAGAGTTTATTATCTCTTTAGGGTATTTCACGAAACTGTATTGTGGTACCATAAATTTAGAAACAAAATAAGATTTTTCGCTAGTGTACAATTAATGCGTTAATATTTTAGTTCGAATCAGACTCTGATAAGATCAATGAAAATAATTTTTGAGAAAATTCAGATATTTGATGATTTTCATGCGAGCATAGTTCATCTAGACGTTCTTGAATGATGTCGTATTGACTTTTTATTAAGTTATCATTATAATTTCTTTTGACAAAAGATGCAATGATATTTAAACCAACAAGAATGTATTTAGTATCATCAGATTCAATTATATCTGAAATGGAATTAAAAATACCTAGAGAAATGAAAGTAATAAGATTTGCATTTGTTCCAAATTCAATTATATCTTTAATTAGTTTTGCAGTATCAATTCTAACTAAAAATGGTCCATTATCTAATAGATTCATGATATTTTGAATCATTTCATTGCTGAAATGAATTGAGTAGCTTGGTGATGATAAAATTTTCATTGCTAAGAGATTTAAAGTCAAACACATGAATTTTTGTTTCAACTCAGTATTGATAGATTTTATCTGAGTGAATGTACTTAGTACTTCAATAGGAAGCATCCTTAAATATGAATTTTGAATTTTGGAGAGATTTAGGAGTAATTCCAAAGCTGAAACTCTCGGATTTATCTTATAATTTAATATTATTTCTGTAAATAGCTGCAAAAATCCATCTGAATCTGGTATTATTTGGAAAACATCTTCTTTTGCAAGTTTTTGAATGTTATCTAGTGTTTTTATGAATTGACTTATTGACAAATCATTTAAGTCATGGTAGTTACTAAGAAAATCTATTGAGATTTCGGCAATTCTTGTTAAAATTACGAAATCAAGCGGAAACGTCTTGATTGAAAGTAAGAAATACGACACTTCATCTGGGAGTAATCTATAATAAGCTTGTTCAAATATAATGTTTGAAAAATTATCAAAAACATGATTCCTAACATTTTCTGATCGACTTGATAGAGTTGAAATCATGTGAATTAGTTCATTACATTTTACACTATTTGAACAATTTGTGAAATGAAAATTGATTTGAGATTAATCTTTCAATATCAAATTGTTCATTTTCTATAATGAGTGCATTCACAATTGTTAGATACGCATCTGATAATTCCTTATTTTCTCTATTAAATGATAAGTCAATAATTTTTTCTAAAAATTGGTCTGTGAACATGTTTGGTTCAAAAATAGAATCACCAAAAACATATATTATCTCATCAAATTCATTAGCAATACTAATTAATAAGTCAAGATCATTTGTTTCTAAAAACTGAGAAATATCATCGAGAAGTATAGATTTAGCCCCAATAATGTCATCACCCACTTGATTATCGTTGCCTTGTCCCTTCTTTCCCTTTTGACACAGCATTATGTAGTATCAAACAGAATATCTTATTGGAAAAATGAATTTAATTGTTAAAAACATACAAAACCTATATGCTCTACTGTAATTCCCTATATCTGCTTATTTAATGCTTTTCCTTAATTTTGTCTTTCTCTTGAGAAGATTGCAATTTCAAATTCTGATATGAAATTTACATAAACAAAATGCATTGTTCTAGTGTTCAAAAATCTCTATTAATTAATTTATTGTCAAATAGCAAAAAAGATTCTTGATGTCAAATACGAATCCAAACTTCCAAAAGATCACCCAATTAAGAAATTATTTGGAGAAGAAGCGAAAGGAAAATATGGCACTAGTCCAGCAGCTAGAGCCATTCGAAAAATTCAGATTAACAGCATTAGAAATTATGGAAGACAGGGAAAACCAGCCAAGAACTACAATTGATATCAGACGTGATTTAGAAGATAAGACTTATATTGTTAATGAAGCATCAAAAAGGAAATCAAAAACAAAAAAGCAAAAATCCAGCAATTCACGAAAATCTTCGCGTAGTGCCTCTGGTTCTTCATCTCGAATTGAATCTGAAGATAGTAAATCCATTCCTTCTTCTGATGCTTCAGATAATTATGCAAAACCATCTTTAAATTCAACAGAGAGCTCATCACGTGAATCAACCCCCATGCCAGATAAAACGATTCTATCACCTAAATCTAAATTACTTATTCAGACGTGTCCAGAAAGTATTCGACTGAAATATCTTCAGTTACTGGCACAATTAGGCAAAAACTAATTAGTATATATTCATACTAGATGTATAAAATGCTTCTTTCGCCCTGTAATTCCTGAACTTCGGAAATCAGAACATAGTGGCATTCCGAGTGACTTACACAGGCATCATATCCCAGAGTAGCATAAAAAGGACAAAAATTTTATATTGTTAATTCTAAGCAATGATATAATGAAAATAATTTTTTCACAAGCTCAGCAAAATAATTTAATTCAGCAGCGCCCCGAATTCAAAACAAATTAAACATCAAATTTGGAACTACTCATCTAGATTAGGTGTTTTCAGCTCGGCTGGTCCAATTTCTAGTGATGGATAGCAAAGTTTTTAAATAAACACAAAATGTCTTTTTCTCTATTGTACTTTTTTCAAAAGATTTGCGAATAAAAGTAAAATTATGATAATAATTAAAATATATAGCTTTTGTATAAACGAATTACAGACAAGTTCTCCTTGTATAGCATCTCAGCAAGTAAAAAATCTGCAAATAAGCCCATATACAAAATCATCTAGATAATTTTCGAAAATGGCATATGTTTCCGTTTTCACTTATAGAATTCTAAAGAAAGATTCAAATAGATATAATTTTAAGATTTCATATACTATTCTTTCCGTCACCTCCAACAATATTAGGAAACTGAAAAAAAAATTAATGCGCCACCCGGGAATCGAACCCGGATCATAGGTTTGGGAAACCCACATGCTAACCGCTACACCAATGGCGCTTCACTGAAAATTTGGTTTTCAAGCCCTTATGAAAGTTTTATGTCAATTAATACATCATCCAATACCTCAAGTCACGATTAAATGCAATCATTTGTGTATCAGCTATGATTCATGAAATTTGAGTATTTCAGGAAGATATCCACGAAAATTTTTTCATCGTAATATATTTTGATTATCTACCACAAATTCGAATAACATGATTGAAACAAACACAAAGGTTACTCATCGAACACTTATTTAAGGCCAGATTTGTTTAAATCTAATTCGATGATATTTTGAACAAAATCATGATTTATCTCTATTCAATATGAGTTATTAGTTTCAAAAAAAGTAGCAGTATATTAACAAACGATCATATTTTACATTAACAAATAAATAAATAGATATATTAAAGAGTCTCTTGGTTCAAAGGCCCCATGTGATTCAATCTGTCCATGAATGTGGCATTATAGGTGATAATTCTTGCTCGATTGACAAACTTTGGGTTAATCATTGTCTTATTCTTTGGAAGAACAGCGGTACTTATTACAAATCCTGGTTTTATTTGTCTAACAAAGTTGTATCCTTCTGTAATCTTGTTTTTAAGATTTTCAAGAAGTTCTCCTGCTTCCATTCTTTCATCTGGATTTATTTTCACAGTTTGATCCACAAGCCATCCAATTATTCCATGTGCCTGATTTTCTATCTTGAGAGTTCTGTTTTTAACATCTTTCCAATACTGAGAATCGCTTTTATATTCAAATGGAAGATTTCTTGTAACAAAAATATGAGCTGTAACACCAAAAGACCACATATCTGCCTTTTCTCCATCGTAGCATCTATGCCTCATAATTTCAGGAGCAATTAAAAGGTCTGTTCCGCAATAGGTTTTTAATTTTGGAGAATTCTCTCTGCAAAAACCGAAATCAATGCGTTTTGGATGAAAATTCTTATCAAACATGATATTAGCTGGTTTTATGTCTCTGTGACTAATACCTCTAGCGTGTAAGTAACTCAAAGCTTCCAAGATTTCTGAAACAATTCTGATGTATTCCTGAGGTTTACACGTATATTCTTGGTTGATGAATGTCTGCATGTCTCCGTTTTCAAGAAATTCCATGATAATATAGATCAATTTTTCATCAAAGATTATATATATCAAACACTTTTGCAATATTTGGATGATTTAACCGAGAAAAGATTCGAAGCTCATTGTCAACGGAGCCTATCATATCTTGCTGTTCTGCAGTTTTTCGGCAAATAACTTTTAACGCATATTTCTCGTTTGTTTTCTCGTGGTGTGATAAGTAAACTGTAGAGAACGCGCCATTCCCTATTTCTGTGTCTATAATATATTTGCCAATTTTAGTGCCTTCATGGAGATCCGTATCAAAGTCCATTTGATAATCTAAAAATTGAATACACAGCATTTTTTTCTGGATTTTAATAGGAAATTTTGCTATATACTATATTTCTATTAGTTCATCATTAATGCTTATCTTCAGAAATTGTATCCTTTCAATTTTTAATCTTATTGTTTAAAGTCTTTTGATATACTTTGTTTTAAAAACTTATTAATTTAATTGAGAATTTACAATTTTTGGGAAGTTAAAATTTTAAACTTTAAAATATAATGCAATATGATAAATTGAGCAAGTTCACTTCGGGATTGTAAAAATTTGAGGGTTTCTTTGAATTTATTAACCAAATTTACAATAGCATTTTTTTACCGTGGCGCTGGTAGTAATTAATTATTATTTCATCACCTTGTTTTGAAATTATATCGAATGGTAAGGAAGTCAATTTGGAAAATTGTTTTCACTTTAGGAGAATATAATTTTCCATTTGGAAAATTTAAAAAGTGAGACGCGCAGGATTCGAACTTTTTTAAAAGTTGATTTAAATGAATTTTAGTGTGGAATATAAGGATAATATCATATTTAAAATAAGAATATACTAGTTTAGGTGGTATTATTTTTTTCGATAAATTTGAGAGTATGTACGTTTAGGGCATGAAAAGTGTCAATTCGCTCAGCGAAAGCTGAGCTAGCTTCGTTCTCGAAAGAATAAGGAAGGAGTGAAGGAGAATGATACAGAAGTTGACACATTCATATCATTTCAACAAATTTTGATCAAATTGAAATTCAATAAAATTCAATTCAATTCATATCCTTCAGTCAGTACATTGATATCCTTCTGCATCACAATGATAACTCGGGCATCAATAGTTCTACAACTAACTCAGAAAAAAAGATTATTACTTCCTGCTTACAGCTTTTAAAAAGTTTCGATGATAAAAATCACTCTACTCTCGTTTATCGACATATGGTGATAGTAGGTAAACATATTCTTATCGATATTAATAAAAATATTTGTACGAAAATCTTATCCAATTAGAGAGTTATTCATAAAGTATATGATAATTATAATTACTTTATCTTTGTTTTATCTTTGAATAAACAATTTAATTTAAATTGCATAATATTTTTTGGTTGAAAGACAGGAAACTTAGTTGAGTTTGTATTATTTTTATCGTTTAATTCATCGTATCAGTGAGTGATCCAGATATTTAAGATATTTAGAAAAAAAATTATTAATTTGATTAACAAATTTTAATCAAAATAGCAAAAATCTATTTGATAGCTGTAAACAAACAATAATTTTTATTTCAAGCAAAATCACTTATTTTCATCTAAACGTATAAAATTGTCAATTTTATGAAAATAAATTGAAAATCTCATGAAATGTAAAGGAGAGTAATATTTTCAATTTTCTTTTTTTTTTGTCTCAAATATTTTCTGTTGGGAATTTTCTTGTTATCAAAAAATAATTTTAATATTTGTTTATTTCATTACATACAATAAAATTTTAAAAACTCTATTTCTTCTCAAGAAAATTTTTTCCTTCATATGAAGAAACATTTTGTTCTCCATTTGATACTGAGTCTAAATCTTGATTTTTGAATTTTCTTCTTTCCAAATTTCTTTTTTCCAAATTAGAAGTTTAATTCAAATTTTCAATAGTTTATATATTTTCTCAAACCGTCTTAGATTTTCTTACTTTTTAGGGATTTTCTCTCAAAATATACAAAAATAGTAATATCAATACATGTGTCTAATATACTTTAAAACCATCGTGGAAAATTCAAAAACGAAGAGTTCTTCTCTCCAAATTTTTTTCAAAATCAAAAAAATGAGATAAAAAAGTACGTTTGGAAAATTCATTTTTAGCATTTTAGGAATTTTCTCACTTTTCTTCCAAATTGACATCCTTACGAATGGTAACTTAGATCATTTGAAAAAATGAAGGACAACCAATTGTTTTAAATTTGTTTTATATGTTTATGATGAGTGATATATAATCTACTGATATTAGATACAAGGGATTTTTATTCATAATTTAGATAATTATTAAACACTCATTTTGAATACAACTAGAATGAAAAGTTCTTCACGGAGACTCGTGTGAAAGTATTTCAAATGCAAAAACTCGGGTACTAACAGATACCAATGTTGACTTTACGACACTTACCTCATTTTTATATTTGCGGAAAGTTTCCTAACCTTATGAGAAGAAATTCCCGCTCTGGGGTGCAAATCTTAAATTTTTGCCCCATAATGAGTAGTCCTCTCTATTACGCTGGATCACTTTCAACAAATCTGAAGCTGATTGTAGACAAAAGTATCCCATGAGATGTTATATTCCACAGCTCGTCGAACATGTTATCCTCGTTATATATATAACTCTAGGAAAGGTACCTTCTCATGGGTAACAATTTGTACAATTATAGGTTGATTGAAAATAAATGTAACTATTTCAATTTATTTTAAGTGCCTACACAGGTCTATAAGATCAAACGTTTTATAATTTATCATAGGAATTATTCTAAATTTTTATTTCACATTAAAAACAAAGCTTATAAATCGGATAAAACTTGAATGTAAGTAGACTAAAATATCAATGCTCAATGAACAATTATTTACATAAAATAAAAATAAAATTATGGCTTATAGATTTTGTTCCATGGCCTTTCGTAAACTCTATCGTCCACAACAGGGCGATTCTTCCAATTAACAGTTGCAATGGTTTTGAGTTGCGGATAGCAAGAACAGTTCACATAAGGAGTTGGGTGGCAAATTTCTTCTTCTGGGCATGTCGGATAATAAACTTGGCCAACAGTCTTCCATTCTGGATTTTGATCCTTGAAAAGCTTTTCATATCTTGGTACATGACGTCTAACGCAATCTTCCTTATGTTCAGGAACAAAATTAGGTGAAGCACTATGATTCTGAATATAAATTTCATTTTCACGATATACTTGCTTTAAATGCATTAATTCTTCTCTTAATTGATTTGATTTTTGAACGTCATATTCTTGTTCTTGAAGACTTTCTAATTCACTTCGGGCAGCTTTCATTTCTTCCATGAGGCGTTTGACCTTTTCCATTTTAGTTTCTGCATTTGTTTCCATTTTGATATGAAAAGTGACATTTTATGCAAAAAATGAGCAGAAATTGAATTAAAAACGATTAAAAATAATTTGACATTTATTGAATCATAAATATAATTTAAAAATTTATATTCCAGGATATTGGTTAATATTATACAAGGGCTGAGAGTAAAAAGTGACACTCATATACGCTGGAAGCAAATCTCACAAGAGCTCCGAGCGGCAATATCCCATAATCTGAATCAATGGTTCTTCATACACAATTTGAATCATTGAATAACATTCGATTTATTTCGTTTTTCTACACTTGTTAGCAGTATTTCTTAATCCAAGAACGATGTAATTGTTCCAAATACCTTCTAGAGCAACAAACTCTATATTATATTAAACCAACAAACAAATAATACTGTTAATTTATTATAAACGAGAGTTTGTACGAATACACTCGACTAAACTAACAAAAACATAATAAAATTATTGCGATTATTTTTTTAGAGATTAAAGATTAAATTGCGATTCCAAAACATAATGAAAATAGAAAATTTGGAATCATGATGAGTTGCTTTTCAATTATTATCCTTTTTATTGATATTTGCTCCATGCGAAATAAGAAGTTCGACTGTTTTTTCTTTGCCACATTTCGCTGCATAAAAAAGAGCCCTTCGTCCATCATTATCTTTTTCATTTATATTTGCACCATGTGAAATAAGAAATTCGGTTGTATCTTTATTATAAAAATTTGCTGCAATATGAAGAACTGTTTTCCCATTTTTATCTTTTTCATTGATATTTGCACCATGTGAAATAAGAAATTCTGCTATTTCATTATTACAAAAACCTGTTGCATAAAAAAGGGGTTTTTCCATATTTATCTTTTTCATTTATATTTGCACCATGTGAAATAAGAAATTTGATTATTTCTTTATTATTTTGATCTGCTGCATAATGAAGAGCAGTTTGTCCATAATAATCTTTCTCATTGATATTTGCACCATGTAAAATAAGAAGCTCTGCTGTTTCTATATATTTATTATATATTGCATAATGAAGAGCAGTTTTTCCATCATTATCTTTTTCATTTATATTTGCACCATGTGAAATAAGAAATTCTGCTATTTCATTATGATGCTTCGTTATTGCAAAAAAAAGAGGGGGTTTTCCATATTTATCTTTTTCATTTATATTTGCACCATGTGAAATTAGAAATTCGGTTGATTCTTCACTACCACATATTGCTGCATAAAATAGAGGGGTTCGTTCATCATCATCTTTCTCATTTATATTTGCACCATGTGAAATAAGAAACTCCACTGTATCTTTTCTATCATCTTCTACTGCAATATGAAGAACGGTTTTTCCTCCATATTTTTTTCCATTGATATTTGCACCATGTGAAAGAAAATATTCGTACAAGGACTGAATATCAAATGCCGTAGAATAAACAAAACATATATTAACATCATTAGTTTGATCGAAATAAACTAAAAATGCTTCAAGATTTTTGTATTTTTCGCAATAGAGTAAATCGATCTTTATATTGTATTCATTCATCAAGAACGTAACAAAATCAATATTGTGTGAAATAATTGCATACCACATGCACGAATCATATGGTGTTTGATATTTCAAACATTCACTCATAATTTCAGGATTTCCTCCTAAAAATGAAAATTTTAGACAGCAATATGTTATTTCTGCGTTAAATTTAGTTCTTAAGAATTTAAAACAATCAACTGCTCCGTGATAGCAACATAATTCAAGTAATGAATATTTTTCATCCCAATCTGGATATAAATCACACTGAAGTTTTTGATTTTCATCAAATCCTTTACTTTCAGTAAATGAGATGAATCTTTCTTTGTCATTATATGCAATTGCTTTGTAAATTGTATCTTGTGTATGAATATCAAGAGTTTCATAGTTACGTATTGCGAAACGATCAGTTTTCAATAATTGAATTCCATATTTTTGATAAAACAGGTAATTTGAAATATTCGCAACATTATTGACATCTTGTACATGATAATCATCATATATGAGCTTGGCAAGTTTTAAATATGACTTTGCATAACGATTATTATACGGAATGATATTTAAAATATCTTTAATGATCTTTTTGGGAAGGGATTTCTTTGAATTTGCCAACATTGTTTTGATCATAATGTAAATATTGTTTAATTCTTCTTCATTTTCCGTTTTTAACTGATACAAAGCATTATATGTATCGATGTAGTATTCATGGATACTTCGTAATTCAATGAATTGATTTGGGTAAATGCCGTGATAAGACATTTATAAAATTAATGTTGGTAAATTTTCATAAAATTTATATGTTCTGAAAATTTTTGAAAACTGATTTTATCCAGATTCTTATTCATATACAGTCAAAGTTGTTCAATCAGACTTTATGAGATATCCGCCTTAGTTTACAAAAATGCACGTTAATTAAACTCCGGCAAATGCCATGTAAAACTCTCAAAAATGTGATCCTTATGGTGAAAAATTACCCACGTTATTGATAATTTCAAATAAAAACGAACAACAGTTCAATGTCCGTATTGAAATATGCATCATTATCCATATGGCTGGCTGAAAAATTACCCACTTTATTGTATTAAGACTGTTAATCAAGTCATAAAGTTTTAAATATGCTTTCATGTAACGATCCCTAAAATAAAGACATTTCCCCCACTTTTATTTAACTTTCTTTAACTTTGATAAAAGTGCTTTCAACCTTGTCTTCTGTGAGTTGATATATACTTCTCATTACATCAATATAATCGTCATATATTCTAATTAAATCAGCTCCTGTTAATTCCTGTCTTGATCCATTGACATAACAATATTTTTTTTGGGATAAAAAATGTTTCAAAATTATATGAAGGATTATTATTTTCGTCTGGAAAAGTGACAAAATTATCATTTTCGTCAGACGAAAATGATAATTTTTTATTTTCAGGGTCATGCTAAAAAGATAAATTATTGAGATTGCAATGCAATGTTACATACTTGAATTGCAATGCATCCATTAGGAAATTTTGGTGAAAATAAATTCAATAGTTTGAGTTTATGATTTTGACTTTGCTAAAAAAATTGACTGGAAAATCACAAAAATTGAAACAATTTGAAGTTGTAACTAGAATGATAACATGCATAAGTAGCTATTAAATAAAGTAGTGTATGGGTAGATTGCGCTTAAAGTATTAGAAATAGAGTTATAGTTCAATAATTCAGATGCCAGACGAAAATGATAATGCCCCAAATTATATTAATATAAATAATACATTTTATGATGTTAGAAGTTTCTCGAGTGTTGCAATTGACCTTTTATCGATCAAAGACTCAGGAACAGGAGGATCTACAATAACAAATCGACCTCCGACGTCGACTTCTTCTTTAATGAACTCAAACTGTGTTTCCACGTTTATTTTGACTGACAGAGAAAGAGAATAAACTTCTTGATCTTTTGATTTCTTCTTTGAGTTGACAATCTTCAAGAATCTCCTTCTGACCTTGAAGAACTCAACAAAAGACATGAATGGAGAGTACAATCCGAGAGTTGCGAAAATTATAATTAAAATCTTCCTCAAAAAGCTTAACAAAGCAGCAGAAGACTCAGAAACAACAACTTTCATGGGTATTGTGTAATCAATGTTGTTCACTGATATATTTACGTTCAAATCTAATTTTCTTTTCGGAATTCTCATCAAATTCACTCCAACAATGAACGGATATTGCATTCCTGGTCTTAGCAGTTCACAATTGAGGTCAGAAACTATGTAAGGATGATTTTTTAAGTTCGGATTCGAAATTTTGTTTAATTTCAAAGAAATTTCTGTTTTTCCGAAGTTTCTTACATAGTAATATTGGAACCACATCCTTCCTATGTATCTTCTATCATCTGATCTGTTGAATTCAAGCGTAGAAATGACATTTCCTTTTTCATTAACTAAATCAAACTTTGGCTCAACGACTTCAGCGATGAAATGCAAGGATAAGGACTCAGTAGCATTGGAAGAAACAGGAAGATAGATATCTATGAATCCTTTCGTCTTTTTCATCAAATGAAAGTTAAATTGAGCACTTCCCATGCTTGGAACAACAACTGTACCATCTGTTGTAATAGAAACATCATCAGGAAGGTCTGGAATCTCATTAAAAGTGAACTCAATTGGAAGATCAAGAATATTATTGATAGTTCTTGAGTAATTTGAGACAACATTAGCGGGGATGATGCCAAAATTGTAGTCTCTATCATGCATTCGCATCTTTTGCATGCTAAAACAAGTAGGAATCGAAATGAAAAAGTTATTCTTCAAATAAATGAACATATAGAGCTTGCAGAAGGAGAAGTTCATCATATCGAAGTCAAACTTGGATAAATCTTCGTAGAATGGACTGTCTTGGTCTAATAAATGAATAAAATTATTATAATTTTTGACAAAATTCGAATCTGCATCGAAAGAAAAGTTGGCAAGGAACTGCATATTGCCCATCATCACCTCTGGTTTGATAAATGGGTTCGCAGAGGAAACATTTACACATGGATGGAAAGAATCAACTCCAAAGATCTTTACGTACTTCGGATATGATATAGAGACATACATAGTACCTTCATAATGCCTACCAACTATGACGTTCTTGTCAAATTGACATTCTAACTCAAAATTTCCCGAAACAGGATTCCACAAAAAAGTGACACTAAATTGAGAGGATTCGCCGATAAAAGTTATCGTATCCTGTCTTGGTTTTGAAGACGATACTTGGTTAAATGTTACAAAGAAGTTAAATTTTGCTACTGAAAATTTTTTGCATACGAAATCTTGCCATTTGATCTTATTCAAGCTCATTACGTTTTTGTTCAACGAAATTCCTGGTGTACATTCGACTTTTCGGATCTTGAAATTATCTGGATTGTCATTGAACACGAAAAGTGAGTAGTTCGTCGATGTTCCGCACAAAACATTTCCTGAATAGAAATTCATCGTATTTGTACGGGTCGGACCTAGGTGGTGTGACTCAAATATATAAACATTACCAGGAAAAACTATGATAGGAACCGTCAATGTCGTTGCATTCGTCTGAACAATCAATTTCGCGTGAATCTTCTTATCAGTTGTAATTTTCGGCAGGTTTATTACAACATTTGGCGATTCGTCGTCAGGATCTACAAGGTTTACTAGCAAAGGCTTCACAGAAAACAAAGTTGAGTTTACATAAGCTTCCAGAATGAAAACTGGCTGCTTAAACATATTAATAAACCTAAAAGTATGTGTTTCTTGTGATGCCTTTGATATGAAAATCTCTTCTTCGCTTGGTTTTAGATATCCATACAAAACACTCGCTTTTATAGGGATATCTATGGTCTGGGATACAGGAGGATTTATTCCTTCGTATGTTACAACTAAGCTCGTGTCGAATTGGCCTTCCGTATCCCCAGTTATTTTCAATCTTCCGATAACTGTCTTACAATGCCTCGGAAATACGAGAGGGGGAGGCAGACTCTCAAATTTTATGGTCGAGGACTCTTTGTAAAGTGAACTTGAGATTAATGCGAAATTTCCTGCGGTAGGATTGACCAAAACCACGTCTACGTACATTGTTTCGTTTGGTTTTGTCAAGAGAGGTACGGTTATGACTGGTTGGAGTGGCTGGAGGAACCTTTGTGACAATGAAATGAATAATGGAACTGTTGCCATGGAAAACTGGGTTTCCATGTGAACGAAAGTTAAATAATACCCTGGTTTGATATTATATTTGATGTCTAGGAAGACTCTGTTTATGTCATAATCAATTTGATCTAATGAAAAGAGATTTCCATCGAAATTGACGCCTATCGATAGTTTCTTTTGTAATGACATTTTAAGTTGTGGTGGTATCTTCACGGAAAATGAACAGTTAGTGTTAGTCATATATCTTAAAGTATTTATGTGGAAATCCTTTGTTGCGTAGTGAGAACAATGTGTAACAGTGTATGGTATCTCTCCTTTATTGGTCGAAAAGAAGATCGGAGTTGAAAAACAACCTTCTTCTGAAGGAGTAAAATAAATTGTGGCATTTTTATGGGAAGAAGGGGCCACTGTTATTCCTTCCATCTTTGGAACCAAGAAATCTCGTGATGCAGACCATACATCGTAGACAGTTAATGGATCTGAACCTGTATTTTGAATTTCAACCATAAAAGAGATAGATGAGAACATTGTGATGGGAGGAAGTTTCGTAGTAGCAGGTTTAAAGCGTGCAAATGCTTGAGAATGTGAAATTACTCGCTTCAAATTTATATAATGAAATGGATCTTTCGTAAAAAGGTACCAGAAGGGAGCTCCGATATGTATAGGGTTATTTACATGCGTTACTAATGAATTCTGGTCAATGGAAACCATACTTCCCTGGGAAACTTGAGAATAATAATTTTCTGACCTTCCGATATGATCTATGAAAAATGTTTGCCTCATCGTTAAGTTGGCCGTAACCCAAGGTGAAATGATGTAAGTTTTCGAAAATGAGGGTTGAAATAACAGATGAAACGAAATATAGATGATTAACATCTTTAGGGCGCTTTCTACATTGAAATGAGAACAAAGTAGATTGATAATTGGCTGGAAAATTAAAAGAAATTCAAAAACGAATTTAATTATTGGGAAAATAGCAATGAAAATGAGATTTGATGATGGTATTACCAGTAACATGTCTTTTCCGAGTAAAGAAACAGCACAAAAATAGAAATTAAGAAGTAATAAAAACGATAAAAAATAATTTGAAGCGGAAATCAACGAATTGAACTGATTTATATTGTCTGTGAAAATGTGTGATTGTAGTTTCGATGTTAATTGTTGTTTTGACAAAAGATTTTTTAAGATAACAATTAATAAAGAAAATGAAAGAGTTAATGTAAGAAAATTCGATTGGGGCTGTTCAGTTGTTGATGCGGAATTATTTTGTTGATGGTTTATTAACTTTGCTGGGAAATTATTAAAGTTTGTATCGAATATTTTTGAATTATCATTATTAATATAGAAAGAATCGAATATTGTAATATTTGGATAATTGTGCTTATCATTGATTTGATCGTTTTCTATCAGTTTTTTGGAAAACTTCTCAAATCTTGGTGGAGAAGCTTCTTTGGAGAAATGAAAGCATAACAATGCAAATAAAACAAAGTAATCGATAAGTATTAACATATGAATCCCTCCATGAAACAAAGTTCTAATTGATTTCATTCAATTCACTTCAATGGGAGATTGTCACTTTTTGCAAATTTGACAAATTGCAATTATTATCATTTGCTCATTACATATTATCATATTTATTGTATTATAGTTTAAAAATGTTGTAAACAGAAATTCATCAAAAGTGACACCTCAGAAAAGCTAAAATATTGAATTTTTGGAACTTTTGATAGAGCACGTTTTTAAATATTAATTAAAGTAAATGTATATTTTGTAAAGATTCTTTTTAATAAAAAAATAAAATTTTGAAGAAGAACACAAAATCTTCTGAAAAATAATATCACATAAACTCATATTATTTTCTAATATATAACTATTTTATATAAAAATCAAATTCAATGATCTTAAAAGCGAAGGATAAACCTCAAAATTTACGAATATAATGAGTGGGAATATAATGCTTATCTATCATAAAACCATATGAAATATCAGTTTTTGCTTTACGCCTATTCCCACTCATTATATTCGTAATTTTTGAGGTTTATCCTTCGCTTTTAAGATCATTGAATTTGATTTTTATATAAAATAGTTATATATTAGAAAATAATATGAGTTTATGTGATATTATTTTTCAGAAGATTTCATTCTATATGCCTATGAAAAGTACTCTCAAAACTAACTTTTTCCTAATTATAATTAAATCTAGAATATTGTCTTATGCTTAGTATTATTTCATTTTTCTCATTCAATTTAGAATTTACAAATGTCAAAAAATTGAGAGCTGTCACTTTTGATGAATTTCTGTTTATTACAAAAATCCTATTAAAACTGCTCAATATCTAAAAATTTCTGATGAATTTGCGATTCTTTTGATAAAAATATCAACATATGATATAAATGAATACAAAAATACTTTTTACTATGAATTTATATATTTTCATACAAGAAAACTTTGATTAAATTTCCAAATGAAATTAATTTAAGTAATGCTGCCATTAATGACTAATAGAAATTAAGAGCTTCGAAAAACAGATCATCATCCCCTAATGGTTTGTTCTTAAAGATAACTTGTGGGCTATTTTGTAAGATTTAGTGCTTTTGTAGCCAATTCATCGAAATAGTTTTCTTTCTTCAATTTCTACAAGTTGGGAATTATCCACTTTAACATAAATTTCTGTTTTTTTAGATCAATTTTAATTTTTTTTTTCTTTTCTTTTTCAAATTCACCGTCTAATGTGATTCTTTCAACAAATACCAATACTTCAATTCAAATTACCATCCCAAACTGGTTTTGTTTTATCGACAAGATTTCCTTTTGTTGCAAAGGTACAATAAATGGTCTGACCGTAAATTTCAGCTCCATCCATATTATCAATTGCTGCTTCAGCATCTGATTCATAATTGAACTCGATTAATGCTTGGTTGCGGTCCATTTTCATTTTAATATCTGCAAGATCTCCGAATATTACAAACGCATCTTTGATTGTTTGCTCTGTTGTCTGAGGTGGAAGATTGCTAACTAAAATTATGCACCTATCAGTCATATTTTAATGAAAATAGGTCGAACTTCTCAAATTAACGTACAGTCAGGAAAAAAAAGTTACCACGTGGTCTATAGATCATTTACCACGCAACCGGATGGATCAACCATGGGTACATTCTTTCAAAACTTTACCAAGAAACTATTCATAGCAATTATATGATGAAAATCAGTAAAAATGAAAAAATATACAAATATATTTTTCAATAAGCGAATAAAATCACATTAATCTTATAGATTTTCGATATCATCAAAGGCTTGATAGATGTTTCCGCTTTAGTTTGGGTTATTAAAATAAAGTCTAAAGGTCTTCCTTTTGATGTTGAATCAGTCTTATGCTTTCCAGAAAAGAAACGGCAAACCCAAATTTTAGCTAAAAGTGACAGGGGAAAAAAACGTTTAGTATTAAAAAAAAGACCGATGAGAGCTTCGTTCGAAATATAGAGGGAACTGAGAATGCGCAACCATTCTCAGGGAATATTGGATGCTATTCCCGTTCCCTCTGTATGGAAAATTGAGGTTTTCAAAGGGAGTTAAAATAATATCAAATTTATACTAATTTACTTCAAAATACAAAAGTATTTGACAGCTAAAATTAGTTACTTTAGCAAGCCTATCAATACCCTTTTACGATTATTGCTACTTTTTCGAAATAAAAGTAAAAACAAATTTATACTAATTTACTTCAAAATACAAAAGTATTTGACAGCTAAAATTAGTTACTTTAGCAAGCCTATCAATACCCTTTTACGATTATTGTTACTTTTTCGAAATAAAATAAATTTATTATCAAAAACCTTTTTTTTCTTAGTAAAAATAAACGAAATTTTTTACCTTATGAACTTTTGATGGAAATATGCAAATTTAAAATAATAAAGAAAGCCGCGAGCTAAGCGATCGGCTTAGTTCGAAGATTTTGATTCAAATCTTTGCTGATCTGTAATTCGCGGAAGCCGCGAGCGAATCGAGCGGCTTAGGTTTAAGATTTTGATTCAAATCTTTGCTTATATTCCTTAAGGATACCCTTACGTGTCAGATTTTTTGCGCATACGAAGAAGTCATGCTAGACATGAGCTATAAACCTGAAATTTTAGCAACATATTTAAAACTTTTTAAACTACAATACACTTTAATATTCAAGAACAAAAATATTCTTTTTAGAAATTACATAATTATTTTATGTGAAATCTATATAAAAACATATTTTGCGAGCGTAACTTTTTTCTTTATAAGCACCTTATATGACTGATAAACTGTGAAGGCACATAATTGTTAATTCATAGAGTTGATATGTTTCCAAAATTGAGAGGAAATTTGAAAATTGAATACCCTTTCAATTCAATTTTCAAAAGATATCAGCTCCTTCAATAATTGAAGGACGATTTTGATCATTTGCTCTTAAAACAAGTATGCCATGGAGAAAAAAGTTACGCTCGCAAATCTGAAATATAACTATCATATAAAAAAATTAAATTTCTAATTTTTTACTCTATAGATATTATTGGCCACTTGTGTAATGCATAAAAGTTTATGTCATATGCATACATTTGGAAGTATGGGAGACGAGGGAAATTACTTCTATGAGGCACTAGGATTTTTAAAAATTTCTCTATCGGACTCACCATTCAATTTCTCGAAAATTAAAAAAAAATCAATAATAGCTAAAATGTATTATGCATAACAAATTTTAATGTTACACGGTATTTTTTGAACTTCATGACATGAATTTTCTTTATATTATTTTTTTTTTGGATTTTCTATGATTTATGCGATAGGCTGGAACAACATTGTAAGTGCAATGATATCATTTATAGAGAAATCTAAAACTTCAGCATTCAGAACTCGCAACCACAAAAATATTCATTTGCTAAGTAAGTAAAGTTGATTAAGTTCGACACTTAGCTTTTATACGTAAAACCAAGTGTGTATTGTTATTTCTTGTTAAATTATTGAGAAAAAACTAAATTGTAAGAGAAACGATACTGATTATTGAAATAATATTGAGGGTAGCTGCAGATTTCTTCATTAACATGCCGGAAATTTGTTAATCTTGGTTTTCTATCATAAAATCTGTCGAAGAATCTAAAAACGGAGATATGAAATAGAGATCATGTAAATCTAGAGTATCCTGTCAGAAAAATAGACTAAGCATGTAACCCTTTTTTGGTCATAAACACTTTTTACCACTTAGTCATACAGATGATCATTAAATTTAAACGAGCACTTTTTGTCAGAATAGATTCTTTTACAAAGACAGAAGATTTTAGTATTATTTAATATTAGTGCTGTAGCAAAATTCAAAAAACGGTGAAAATTCAGTGAATTTGTGAATTCACATTTTTTTTTCGACATTTTTCTTGATATATCCATGCACATTAAGAACACAGCTTTGATACGCTTAAAAAAGCATATTTCATATGAAATTGTTAAAGAAATAAACAATTTATATAAAAATTGCACTTATGGGCAGTTTAGATATATAATTTATATATAACATATATACAAATCCATAGACAAAGTGCAATAACTACAATGTTGTAGAAAAATTACAGCAGAAATACTGACTTTTTGAAGGATAATAAGAATTCTTCTAAATGTTGTATTTTTATAATTTGATTGATTTTTTTTACTATTTCATTAATCTTTTATGAATAATAATTATTTTTAATATATGTGCTATTAAAATTTCAAATTTTGACTAATATATCTAAGTTATCTGAACGAAACATTTAGAAAATATCATACTTACATTGAAATAGCAAGTAGAGCATATTAATAGCAAGTTTCTTGGCTTTATATCTATCATCTATTGTTGTTTGATCAAACAAAATTCACTCTATTATATGGTGTCAATTAATTAAAACAATTTTTAATAGTTATTTATTTAGTGCGAATAAGTGCAAACTCATAAATGAATAACTTAATAGTAGAAATGAATTATCTGATATAAATCTCACATTTTGTCCATCAGAAATACTTTAATTGCATACGCATAACTATTAGTAATACGTCTGGAGTGTCAATTAATAACAATCCCACAACAAGTAAAATTCAGATTTTTATTAAACTTATTTTTTCCTAAAAGTTTTCTCAAATTACTATATATACATATGTGGATAAAATAATAGTAATATTGTAAAAAATTAGATAATTTTTTTATTTGAGAACCTCTCAAAAGTTCATTCAATTTATCAATTGTTTCAGTTTGATGTATATTCATTTCTGGAGCCTAAAACTTTAGCAATCATGACAATATCATATTCTCTTTCTAACTACGCAATGTAAGGGTATCCTTAAATTCTTTATGAAACTCGCAACAGTTCCATAAAAAATTTTAAATTCTAAACTGTCGAAATTACCGATCGGTAATCACACCCTTCACGGGTGTGTCACTTTTAGCTAAAATTACCCCTACTCAATAAATAAACGTTAAATCATTTACAAAAATTTTATGTTCAATCAATAAGATGCAGATTATTTTTTAATTTCTATCTTCTAAATTTTTGTAATTGTTATCACAAATATTGAATTGTTATACAATTTCGCTTTCAATATAAATTTTATTTGTCAGAAAAAATTAAACTCTCTTGTTACTTGGCATAATGATTCTATTTATACACAATATTTCTTAATTTATTTAAAAATAAATATAAATACTTCTCAAAATGTCTGGAATTGCGAATATCACGTTTGGGGAATGGTTCCAAACAATATATTCAGATATTTTTGGTGTATTCCAGATGTATAGGAGTGTGTATTGTCATCGTGCAAAATTGGCTTTCCTTTGCCAACAATTAAGCAATTTCCAAAAATCAATGGGGCAAATCGAAATACCGTCAGACAGTCCATCACCTCAACAGATACAAAGGTTCAGAGATCTATTAAAATACATCAGTGATCTTAGAAATTTATTTGCATGTCTTGATGCGTCCCATTTCGTTGAATTTGTATCAACTGCAAATGAAAAATACGTCAAATCGTTCGTCTCTAACTTTTGCAAGGAATTTAATAAGGTTTGCAGTGATTTTCCATTTTTAAAACAAGAACCTTTTATTGAAGATAAAGCTCAAGAAATTACAGATGATATAGCTGATTTACAAGATATGATTCGGAAAATTTCAGGAATCTTGCAAGATCCATCAGTTCCATCGCAACTTACTGTTTTATTACAGTGTAGATTAGGCGAATACCAGAATGCACTCAAAGAATTGAACACTGAGTTGGCTAGTTGCAATACTATATCTAAATCTCTTAATGGAGAGATGCTTAGACAAAGATTAGAATTACCTGATTCATTTTATCTACAAAAAAGAGACTTTGTCCTTAAAAAGAAGATTGGATCTGGCGGATTTGCAGATGTATATGAAGGCATTCAGCAAAGCACTCAAAAAGTTGTGGCCATCAAAATTTTACATAATAATGAAATTAGTGAGAGTTTATTCAAATCATTCAAACGAGAAATCGAAATTCAGTCGAAACTTAAGAACTTTGCTATTCTTGAACTTGTTGGTGTTTGTCTTGAAGCTCCATTTTATATCGCTACTGAATTTATGCCAAAAGATTGTTTGTTTAAACGTATTCACTCACAAACAAAGCTCGAACCTACAAAGAAAACAATTATTGCATTAGGATGCGCAATTGCATTATCATATATGCACAAATTGGATTATATTCATAGAGATATCAAGTCTCTCAACATTTTACTTGATGCTGATGACTATCCGAAGATCTGCGATTTCGGTATGTCTAGAAAATTATTGCATCAAGAATTAATGACAGGAGGAATTGGAACCGCACAATGGGAAGCACCAGAAGTTATTAGTAATCAAATGTATACAGAGAAATGTGATGTTTACTCTTATGGTATCTTATTATGGGAAATCTTAACTGGAGAAGTTCCTTTCCGCGGTCTAACCCAGATGCAGGTCGCCTCAGATGTTGTAGGAAATTCACATCGTCCAGTCATTCCTAATGTTGCTCCTCCAAAAATTACGAAGATGATTAAATTATGTTGGGAACAAGATCCAAACAGAAGACCTTCAATGGAAACAGTTGCCAGCGCTATTGCTTGCGGAGAAGTTGTATTTCCAGGTACTCATATGTCTGAAGTTCAAGCTTATCTAACAAGATTTGGTAATGATCCACTTGTTTCCGGAATTATTGAGTTATCAAGTGGCAAAGATCACCAGAACTCAGGCAGAATTTACAATCCAAGAGTCAAGAATTCTCCAACACACAGTAATGAGTTGAAATTCCAAAACAGAACTCAATCCGCGAGAGTTGAAACAACTCCAAGTGAAGTCAAACTTCTCAACATGATTGATTTGAACAAACCAAATGAAGCATTAATTCCAACTCTCATTGAGATGCTCAAGAACGAAGACAATGAGCCTGTTATCAGTTTAATCTGTGATCTTGCAGAGAATCCTGAATGGTGCAGAGAATTCACGAAATCTGATTTAATCAGTAGATTAACAATAATTCTTTCTAATACAACATCACCTGTAATTGCTGCAAAAATCTATGCAGTTTTCCATAAAATGCAAATTGCAAAAGTTGATATTTCTTCAACATACAATGCGATCTTTTCATCATTCCAGAAAATCGGTGATACATCGATGTTTGATGTTCTTAATCTAGTAACTTGTGCAACAAAAGATGGTGTTGAAATTCCAATCAATGAAGCAATAATCTCAAAATTAGCTGCTTTCTTACAGGCAGGAAACATGAATCATAGAACAATGGCTGTTGATATCTTCCAGCAATTAATTTCAAAATGCGATAATCCAAAGTTGTTTATTTCAATATTTGGACCATCAATTGCAAACTTAATTCCTGGGGGTGGAATTCTTTCAAAAACAATCATAATCGTTACTCATCTAATCATCACAGGAAAACTTGAGTCAGAGTTCATTGCTGCTGGTGGTTTCATGAGTTTTCTGCAATTATTTACAACAAAAGATCCAAGAATTCCTGAATTAAATGAGAATGACAGAAAAAGAGTTTTTCATTCATTCCTTTCTTTGTTGAAAGTTCCTTTGAATGAAAAGATTTTGCTAGAATTTGCAAATTTGTTACTTAAAACATTGACATGTTTAAGTGGAGATGAAGTTGTTCATTTTGTTGCAGCAACAACACATACTTTCGTGAAACCAGATCTTTCTCCTGTTATTCTCGCAAAATATGCAGAATTCATCAAGAAATGTCTTGAAAATCCAGAAATCAGAGTTGTTTTGATTGCTTTGAAAGTTAAATACTACTTCTTAATGAATGAGAAAACAAGATATTCCTTCTTAGATTCTGGAGAAAGATTGACAGAACTATTAAATCCGAAAGATGAAGCTGTATCTGCTTTGGCTGCTTCTTGTTTAATCTTCTTTTACGCATCAATTGAAGGAGAAGATTATCTCAAGCTACTCAACCAAAATCTCTTCCAATACATGTATTACTGCTTGTCTTCTGAGTTCAGACTAACACCATACGCATTGAGATTGTTTGGAACAATATCGATGACATACGATGGAGCTGCTTTCCTTCAATCAAATCAGATTCCTCAATTGGCAGGAAATTTCATGTGTTCGAACACTCCAGAAATCAAATTACTTGGATTCAAAGCTTTCTCGACTTATGTCGTTACGTATCCAATGTCTGAAACAGCTTTGGCAGCAATTCAGATATCAATCCAATCATTGGCAAATACATCTTTGGCTCCTTATCCTCTGTTAATGCTCAGTTCATTGATTGTCTGTCCGATCGCTGCTATAAACATTGCTCCAAATATTGGATATTTGATTAAAATGTTGGATTTAGCAGATGGATCTCACAGACTTTTGATTTTGAGATTGTTGACAAAGATATTTGGAATTCTGGAAGCAAGAGATTATTTCAATGACACAAATGCTTTGGTAGAACTCTTCAATAAAGCGGAAACATTCTTCGGAACGAAGTATTGGTGGAGATTAGTCAAATTAATTGATGTGTCAACAGGAACAACAACAGGATTAAGAGCAATTGCTCAATCAAATGTTATTGAAGTTCTCAAACAAGCAATTCAGCTCAGAAATATCACGACAAAACAAAAACGTCATATCAACAGAGTTTTTGTTCGAATTCAGCAAATTTCATAAATATATATTTTATAATTTTTTTATCTGAAATAAACATATAAAAGATATTCTAATGAATATTGTTTTTATTCCACGTGTTTATTTACCGAGTGCTTGTGAAGTCCATCATTACATAATGTATGAAAGATGATAAAAACAAAAAAAAATCTCAGAAATATATTTGGAATTCTCGAATTTTTTGGACTTCAGGAGAACAAATGAAAGTTTTTAATATCAACTTCTGATGAAAGCCAATTAACGAAATAAGGTTCACCAAACATTGGTGTACTATTAAAATAGTATTTAACTTTTTTTTGGCCCTTACCGATCCAAATTTGTAATTTACCATAACGTTTCAAGTCCTGAACAAAATGCTGGCACACACTATGTGAAGTTTATTCAAGAGATAATAATTCGAGCTATTAGAAATTATTGATAATTCTCAAAGCATGATATTTGATATTAAAAGAGAAATTAAGTAAATTGAACTCTCAACCTCAGCTGAATCACTGACATAGAATATAATTATATGTTTGTAACCAAAAACATGAGATAGGACCGCTGAACTAAGTAAGAATATCCCATCTGGTGAAACAAAAGATTAAAACACTTAGATCATCTGGTGACGGGTTTTTCCTGCACTTATAAAAAAATAAAAAATTAAAAAGTGATTTATTATAAAAACAGAATTTTTAGTGAGCTTCTTCGTCTAACTGGGCCAAAACCTTCTGCACGTCATTGCCGTATGCTTCTAATAAGAACACAGATGCGTTTGGATCGAAGTCACCTATTACAGAGAGCAGTTCCGCAGCTTTCTCTGGGTCCATGGCTTCGATATCTCTGCCGAAAGAGTTGTTCAGTTCGAAAAATTTCTTTCCAGTGATAAAACCGTTAGAAATTCCATATTTTACGATATCTTCCACAGGAACAGGCTTCGGAATTCCCAAACAAGCAGCGAACAAGTCAGGATACATGTAAAACTCTGGATTCTTCAGTTTCAAGTACTTTAGAAACTCCAAAAACTTTGATGAATCTTTCTGTGACTGTTGCAACAGAGTTAGAGCATCGCCAACACGAATATTAGTTAAAATATTGGCTGTTGTGATCGTTGGATTGGGATTTAGACCTCTACTTCGCTCAATATTCTCTAATTCTTGGTTAATAATTGAATCTACGGCTCTTTCTATGGAACCCTTACAAGCAATGAGGGCTCTCATGGCCGTGTTCATGTTAAAACCTATTTCCATGATCTGTTGGACGTTTTCTTTGTTGGTATATTCTGGATAAACTGTTTTTTGCTGTAAAATGCCTTCTTTTATTGCTTGGTTCTTGATTTCAGTGACGTTCAAGCCGGAAAGAGGCGTAGAATCGATGTTTACTATATAGTCTGAGTTATTATAAAATAATGCTGCGGAAATTGAGACCAAAAATGGATGTTTCGCCTTGTTATCCTTCCATCTCTGCTCTATTACTTGGTTTTCAACGAATCCATACTCCAAAGCCAGTTTTTTGTGGGAATCTGTTTTGAAAATTTGATTAAAATCATGAGTTCTTGCGTAAGAATCGATTAAACCATCGAAGACCTTCATTTCAGCCTCTTTGGCCGCGTTTTCAAGGGATTTCTTGTATTCTTGAAATGATTCTTTGATTGAATTTCCAAATGAACTCAATTTAAGTAATGCTGCGCTTAATGATTCAAAGGAGTTAAGGATTTCTGAAAGGAGAGCTTCATCCTCTAATAATTTGTTCTTAAGGATAACTCTGGCTTCTCTTGTGTTCCATTTTGTAAGATTTAGTGCTTTTGTAGCTAATTCGTCGGAATAACCCTCTTTCCTCAATTTCACAAGCTGGGCAACATCTGTTTTGACATGGATTTCGGCGTTTTTAAGCTCCATTGCTGGAATTGATTCAATAATTTTTCCTTTAAATTCGAATTCTATAACTGTATCCGAGCTAAATGTCTCTGTTCGGAGAAGTATTTGCTCTAAGTCGTCACTTGTTTGCCATGGCTTCAGTAAAACTGGGATTTCTTTTGTTTTTAGAATTAATTTAATGGGAATTGATACTGATGTATATAGAATATCACCAACCTCATCTACTCGTTTTGATTGGTTAACAATAACTGCGTTTTCTATGTATTCGAACGTCATATTTTCAAATTCTTTCTTTTCTTTTACGATTTCGTTTTTAATACTTGAAACAAGTGTATCCTTAGGGAATTCTAATGTAATTCTTTCAGCAAGAAATGAAAATACAAAAGTCTTCTTAACTTTATCACTCATAATTTTTCAACAAAAAAAGTTATAAATTTACCACCCCCTAAAAATGTCATTATTTGGAAAATTAATTTCCTCTATAGAAGTATTTAGTTTTTTACGAAATATAGTTAAGATTGTTGCATGCTAAGTTCGGTCAACGATAGGAATTGAGTGGAAATTAATCGTCGAGGAAGTACGATTATGTAAAGTAAAAAAAATGTTGTGGGATTTTTAATATTATATATTATTTTATAATAAAATTTTTTTGAGTCATTTTAAGAAGCACATATAATTTTTTGAATTTAAAAATTAAAGTAGTGTCAAACGAATTTATCACTTAATTTAATACTCAGATTTCTTAAAATTAATGAAAAAAGGTTTTCTGAGAACTTTTGAGAATGGTTTTCAAATTCCATTATTGAAAATATATAGGTATTGTATGAAATTCAAACTCTATATTTATTAAAATTCTAAATTTTTAATAAAATAACTTTTCAGAGGAATATGATTTTGAATGGTTGATTAATAAGTATAAAAATGTCTACGATTTTAAGGAGGGAATTGTTCCTTATGAGGTATACATTATAACTATATACCTCATAAGGAACAATTCCCTCTTGATAGCTGGGAAACTTCTCTGAATAACTTATCATTTGGAGAAAGTTTCCCAGCTATCTATTAGAAACTAAAGGCTGTGAGGCACTAAATATAATCAGTGCCTCATAGCCTTTAGTTTCTTATTAAAAACGAGAAAACTTGTTCGAAATGATAAACAATTTCGAACAAGTTTTCTCATTTTAAGGAGGGAATTGTTCCTTATGAGGTATACATCATAACTATATACCTCATAAGGAACAATTCCCTCTTGATATCCTGTATATTTTTGAATATATTTTTTTAATTAAAGTTCTCAAAAGTATTATCAAAAGTGATTTTTAAAAAATATCTCCAATTAATTAACTAATTAAAAGTATTATATTTTTAAAATTAAATAGTTTTTCAATTTTTTTGAAGGAATTGAGATACTTCCCACGACAATAAAATTGAGAGGTTTACATTATGACTGATCTTAGCATGCAACAAGATTTCTTCAATTTCATATAGATTTCATAAAGAATTTGAGACTTCCTATCAACTGATGAGTAGGTTCTAACTAAAATGTTGTATTCTGCAATAATTAAACGACATTAATCAAAAGTTAAATCTATTAATGTTAATCATTTTGCAATTGCTAATATAATTGCAAAAATACTCATACAATGACATCTTTCTATGTCAGAAAATGGCAAATTATGAAGAGTATCTCAGTTGATAAATATTAAGGCTTCAAAGTTTAATATCTCCTCCAATATGCGTATTCCAGATTTTTATTATTGTACCTTACATCATTATTCTGAGTACTACATGTTTAATCTAAAAAGCTTAGTCGCTCTCTCAAAATTTGCATAGTAGTATATGTGGAAGGGTTTAGTGACTTTTTTTGTAAACGTAAGAATTCTTACAATATTGAACGATTTTGTATCATTTTTTTTAACATATGAAGTAAAAAATGTATGATTCTTACGGTTTTTATTCTTACGTTTTTGAATAAATCAAGATTTAAAAAATTTTCAAAATTGTAAGACATTTACACTCAGCCCAAATGTAAATCATTAAAAAATAAACATTAATTTTAAAATAATTTATTTTTTATCTTTTATAAAAGAAGCTATATATATAGATGATGTCAGATATTCCGCGATTAATTAAACATTGTTTAAATCCTGAATGGATTAAACTTCAATTTAAAAATGAAGATTGTGAATTATTAAATGAATATGAATGAAAAATAAACTTTAAAACTAATGATTGAGTTCAACATTGAACTTTAAGAAACTAATGATTATTTGAATTTATGAAATCAATTATTTGATTCATTCTTTCTTCAATAATTTCTATTCTTTTTGTTAAATCATCTATTTTCATTAATGAGGTGATTCTTGATTGAGGAATAGATTTCAAACTAACCACTCCTTTTATTTTTGAAATTTTGAATCCATCAACTTTAAACATTTTATTCAATTTACACGTTGTCAATTCTTCAAATAATTTTTTATTATTAGCATAATAGTCATTAAATTCTTCAACAGATGAAAAAATTTTTATTTCAGTAATTGGTTTAACAATGTTTATTTTTTGTTTAACATTTTCACTTTCATTTATTTCTTCCTCCTCTGTTTCATTTATTTTTAAAATCGGTTTCATTTATCATTAAATAAAAGTTAGAATATAAGTGATGAAATATATTTTTTAATTAATATTAAATCAGAAATGGCGGCAGGATTCTTTAAAAAAATATGGGATGGAATTAAGAAAGCTGCGGGTTGGGTTTATAAAAAGATTATTAAACCCGTTGCAAACTTTTTGGCACCAGTAGCGAAAACGGCAGGAACTATCATAGGTGGAGTATTAGGTACTAAAGCAGGTAATCCGGCGATGGGAGCACAAGCAGGTAACGCAATTGGTGGAATAGCTGAAGGAATACTTAATAAAATAGGAGGTAGATAGTGGAAAAATAAATAAATATTATTTTTATCTTAGTATTGGTTGTAGTCTTTGATAAACTTTTTCTCCTTTATTTAAAATTTCTCTTATTGGGGCAGCTTTTGGTGTTATTGATTCAGCAACGTCACTAATTGCTTCTTTATTCTTAAATATCCAATTTGCCCCCTTCTTCAATGTTTCCCAAACTTTACTCGCTCCTCTTTTTACTCTATCCCACAGTTTCTTAAATATACCTGCAGCCATAGTTGATTATTTCATTAAAATTAAAAATTCATTTTCATCTTTTAATTTTGATTTTTTATTTATTAATAAATGACGACTAACTATTTGGTGCCAAACACTAAACCAATTAATGGAAATGTATTTCATTCATTCGAAAAGATAAATGAAATATTCGCAAAGAATGACGGTAGAAGATATTATAGAGAACTTGAAAGTTCATGCTATGACTCTGATGCTCCATATTTTGATGATAAACAAACTCATTTAAGAATTACAAATCCGGCTCATGATGTGAACCAATTAGGTGACACATATATTAAACGCAAAGTTAAAGCAACTCTAGTTTCAAATAAAGCTTTCACATGTGATGCCGCTTTTAAATGCATGCGTTTATTCGTTGGTTACAAATCATCAAATCAAAGCATTAAACAATTAGAAGTAGAAACCGAAAGAGGTGATGCAGGTTATCTTCAGATGGATTGCGCCCGTGAATCTTTTGCATTTGCAACATATAAACCAAAATCAGAAAGGAAAGTTAAAAAGTTTGTTCATTCGTTATATAATAATGTTCAAAAATATGATAACTCAGTATGTGGTAAATATATTGACCCTTCAGAAGTTTTCAAGAACGCAAATAAAGAAGTTGATATCACTTTTGATATGATTATTCCGGTAAATGATTTGTTAGCATTTCAGGCGTTCGATGATTATAGATCCGTATTTTTCCCAAGTGAGGGGGGTATCTCCAATCCCAGCCCTATCGTCCTCCCAGTGTCAGTTTTCAATATAAAATCCAAATTTTTTTTGAAAATAAAAATATCGAGAAATTTTTCTGATTTTTTTTCTTTGATTTCAATAATTCAAAATAAATTTGGGAGTAAAAAGACACTATTTAATGAAATTCATATGAGTGAATGTGGATAAATACTCTCAAAACATACAATTTATCTATTTTTTCTTTATATTATCAACTAATTAGTGATAATTTTTTTTGAATCAGATTTTTTTTTCATTAAAAACATAATATATAACACAACAATGATGCACACATACGTATCTACACATCAAAATATAAAGCTTGTTTTGGTCTGGGCATCCCAACCCAAAATTCTTTAAAAATTGAATAAAATTGAATACTTGGGGCTGGGATACCCATCCCAAAACCGAATTGAATTTTTTGAATTAAAGAATATATTTATGTATTTATAATATACATGTGATGTCTATAAAAAATACTAAATTCTAAAAAAAATTCAATTTATTCAAAACGTATACTAAGTGATCACTTCATTAGTAGGATCAGCAATCCTACTAAATGGTGAGAACGCCACTAACTAAAAAGGGAGTCCTTGGAGCTCTTGATCTCTTGTCAGTAGAGTTCATAATGAGGCATGGCATCTACTGATTAGAGATCAGAGCAATCCTACCTTACATTCAGGAGCTACAAAGCTCCTAATCGTTACGAGAGGGAGCCTTGGAGCTCCTGAAGCTCATCAGCAGAGGCTATTTACCATTTGGGCCTCTTCTGATGAAAGATGCGAAACACGTCTACGAACCAGGAGCTTCAAAGCTTCTAATCCTTACTAAAGGGAGCTTTGAGCTCCTGAGTCTCCATCAACAGAGTCCCAGATGGTAAATGTCCTTTGCTGATGAAAGATGCGAAACATCTACGAACCAGGAGCTCCAAAGCTCCTAATCCTTACGAAAGGGAGCTTTGGAGCTCCTGAAACTCCTTTTACTATAAAATAGGACAGTTTTCTTCTGAGGTTCTCATCAAATCTAAGACTTCAGAAGAAAGCTGTCCTATCAATGTATACTTACACTCTCATGGACTACAAGTGTACAATTTTAAGGCAGAGATTATCCGAGGCCTCTCATCAAATGAGGGACCTCGGATAATCTCTACCTTAAGTAGTCAAATAACTTTTCTCACTATTTAGGAACAAAAGAACAAGAGTTGGAGTACTTTAAGGCAAGATTCTTCCGAAATCTCTCATCGAATGAGAGACTTCGGAAGGACCTTGCCAAATCCTTGAACGCCAATATCCTTGGAACTGAGCTAGAACCAGGGAGAAGTAGCATACTATAGAGCACGATGGTAATCTCGGAAATGCTTATATCGCCCCAAGCACAATATTTAAGAAGTCTAACTCATATATACAAGAAGTCAGGCTGAATAGATATTGTGCATATGGTTTGCAGAACTCTCATGATATTTAAAATTCATGTTATCCCAAAAAGGTGACACTTTGGGTGTA